GGCTCGGGGTTAATGGCAGTGACGTGGAATCCCCACGTGCGTGCAAATACATCACGAGCGGCTTCGTCCTCCATGTCGGCTCCGGGGCAATTTTCCATCCAGTATAGGCCGTGGTTGTGTGGACTACCACGCCCTTGCCATTCGTACCGATCCCAGTAATCCGTGATGCCGAACTTCTTGCTTAGCACGATATCCCGAAAGAGGCAGTATCGGCGGTAGAAGTGGAAAGCAGCAATGTGGGGGTTCTGCCGCAATAGGCGGCGCGATAGAGCCATCCTCTCCGGCTCGGTGGCGGCTAGCCAGTCGTCATACTGGGGCATGTGCTGGTAGAGACTCCGCCAGTGTAAATCTGCCGGGCTAAACGTGATGAATGCACCAGGACAACCAAGGTTATAGGCATAGGCCTCGAGGTCCTGCCTCCTTTTGTTCCAGAAGGGACGCGTACCGCGAATAGACACCGCATGCCTTGTGATCGAGTTGATCAGCGCCTGCGCCTCGGGGTCCTCGCTGTGTTCCAGCGCCTGCGCCTCGGGGTCCTCGCTGTGTTCCAGCGCCTGAATAAGTTGCTCTCGCGTCAGCGGCTGCTGTCTCCCATCATGTTGCTTCACGAAGAATCTGGACCGTGAACGTGCTTGTGACCGCATTAGCGTGTTGAAGGCGACGAAGCGGAAGGTCGGGTGGCGTGCAAAACGCCCGTCGTGCCAGCGCATCGCGTGCTCGACGTAATCCTTGTAATCAATGGAGCGCAATCGAGGTTCAACAAAGTCGGCTCTACCGTCAGGAAAGAGGCAGGGAAACGCCAAGGAGAGTAGGGCATGAGAGCGATTGAAGTCATTAATGGGTGTGTGTCGTATATTCGGGAGCTGCAGCTCGTGTTGCGCCTGCGCCTGGAAGCTTGTGGAAAGCTCTGAATCAGCTTCTGACTCTCCGGCGAGAATAGACCGCAGAGCATCAAGCTCCGTGTCCTTGGCCAACAGGTCTGGCACCGCAGCCTCGTCCTCCAGGTCAGGCTCCGCCTCCTGATCTTCCTCGGGTCCAACATCCGCAGCCTCCACCTGACTCTGGGGGATGGCATCCAGGACATTGCCATCTTGGGGCAATTGATTTAGCCTCTCTTCGTCGATGACGATGCATCGATAGCCAGGATGATGGCGGCGGAGGTAGTCTAGCCATATGACAACCGGCTGGCGGCGCACGCGGAACTGGCGGGTGAATTGCCGGCTAAGATGTGCGTGGGACGACGTATTCGCAGGACGTAGTAATACAGTGTTCAACTCCTGCGGCAAAAGCGGGAGCTGGTTGTACACTAAGCCAACCTCGCGGAGAAAGTGAACTACGTGCCCCCGATATTTGTATTGCTGCCCTCGCACAAGCATAATGTTCACGTGGACGTGAACACGAGCAATCAAAGACTCTTCGGTAGGCGTAAGCTGGGGCAACCGGGCCGGTACAGGGCCGAAGTCGAGCTGATTATCCGCAGAGAAGAAATACGGCTCGTCGGGGCGGCGTTTTTCATCCTTTCGATAACAACGCGCACAAATGCCATCGCAATCGATCTTCATCTGGAACCAACTCTCTTGGCATCGACTGCAAAACTGCATTTGGTCATTGTCCAGCTCTGTCCAGAACTCGCGGAGGATGGCCTTGTCGCGACCAGTCAAGGCGCAAGCTTCCAGATCTCCATTCCACACCGGATCTTGTGCGTGGAATACCGCCGACTCTTCAGGTGGAATCCTCACCGGACTCCGAATACGTCGTGGCGGCCTCAACGATCGAGTTTGCCTTTGAGATCGTCTCGGTCGCCCTCCTGTGCCAGGAGCCGGACCACGGCGACCAGTCCTCGGCCGTGCAGAAGGCAGCCGCGAGCGATGACGAACAGGGCCCTCATCCACGGAGTCGTTACCGTCGCTCTCGTCCCCGTCCCCTGGGTCGGAGTCACACTCTACCCCTATTTGCTCCAGGTACCTGCGTGGCCGGACGGGCGAAAGCAGCAGGTTGAAATAGTCCTCGGCGTCAATATCGGACTCCGAGAACTGGCCCCAGTCATCTCCTTCCTTGATTATCCCATCCCCATCTGGAAGCCCACTCGGCCGCGGTCGATCTTGGCTCGCATCTACATTCTGTCGTTAGCCCGAAGTACTGCGACCATTAAGTAAGAATATCTGCCCCAGGCCCCTCCGAACCTTTAAACGCGCCGAGTTGAGATATTGAGGGAGTCAGTGACACAGTCTCGCCTGCACGGCGTCGTGAACGATGGCCGCGCTGGATAGCAGCCCGCTTGGCCCTTGCGCCAGCCATGGAGGAATCGTCCTGTGAGTCTCTCCCACACTTGAGGAATCTAGGAGCCAAGTCAGGGTGACCTATATCAGACGTGCTGCTTCGGATAGTAGACGGATCGGAATGTGAGGCGGTTAGTAGTGTCGTCGGCTGCACAGGAGGTGAGGGAGCTATTGTACGGAAGAGCCGCGAGCTTTGTTGGGTTGGTGGAATTGGCGTCCCCAACACTATTCGCGGCTGGCTAATCGACGCCCCGGATAACGTCTTCGCTGTATGACATTGCCGCAGCCTCTCTGGCGACGTAGGTTGGGTTCCGAATCTGTCGTTAGGAGGCAATAGGCCAGCATCTTCTTCAGTTCTCTTCGGAGCGGGACTCTCAGTTGAAGAAGGAGCGACGGCGAGGTTTCTTAATGTCAGGATCGCGCCTCTGGACCTGGAGTACTTTAATTAGTTAGTATTGAACGTCTTACGGAGTGGGAGACAGACTGACATGAGAACTGCGCTGATTGCGACAGTCCTGGCAGTTCTTGGTGTGCCCCACCGATTTCCTTTTGCCAATAAAGTCACCTGCCGGTTTCTCCTCGCCACAGCGGACGCAGACGATGGAAATCATATCATCTTGAAGCTCTTGAGGAGTAGACTTTAAGACGCATTACTTAATGGAGCAAGACATCAAGAGGCGTTGTGCGGGATGAAATGGGTATTTGAATCCCGAAATCCTAAAGCTGGCCCCCTAGTAAACAAACCAGGGGTCCTGGCAGCTGTTAATAGCGACCCACCTTTCGAAGGCCGTCATCCAGTTGCGGTACGTTTTGCGACCAGCCATACAAAATTTAGACCAATCAGAGTCTGGGAAACTTATTAATCCCTGTCTGCACCAAACCCTCATTATTGGGAAAAAACTTATGGATTAATGTAGAGTCAGCCTTCGGCTGAATGAACTTGCTTTTTATTGGGGGTGCACGGACGAAAATGTGGTTTCCTGTCCAGAAAGCAGAATGTCGACAGAAACGACAGGTCCTTTGTACAGTAGAATTCTCGCCACAAACTCGACACCTGTCTTGACAGAGGCGGACGCCATCGTGCTACTTGGAGACGGAAAGATCTTGGAGCAGGGTAAATACAACCAGCTCAAAGCCGCGGGAGGTGACTTCGCCAATCTTATTGGCCAAGTGAAGAACTTGAACCAGAGCGATGCGGCGTTGACCTCCGAGAATATTGCCACTTCCGCAAGAGAAGTTATGACCAATGGGCAACAACCACTTGACTACCTCAGGCTACCGAAAATGACGGAAGCAGTTGGGTTAAGCCAAACTTCTTCCCCCAATGGTCGTACCGACCCAGAAAGGTCGGGCCTTGGACCAAACATCCTGGATATTGAGGCGGCTAAAAGGAAGCCTAAACGCAAGGAATTCATGCAACAGGGGAGTGTCAAGTGGAAAGTCTATGGTAACTACGCAAGAGCGAGCAGCCTCTTCGCCGTGGCTATCTATGCCGTTACCCTTGTAGGCGCTCAAGTTGCTGAGATCGGTAAGTCGTCAACTTTGCGTCTGGCAATAGTGTCAAGTAATGCCTTAAGATGAGCGTTGCTGAACCATTGATGAATCATACTCACAATGACTAGGAGGAAACGTCTGGCTGAAGCAGTGGTCTGAGGCAAACGACAAGCCAGGCACGGACGTGGACGTCAAGAAGTATCTTGGTGTCTATGTTGCGTTTGGACTTGGATCAGCTAGCTTGGTCATTTTGCAGTCATCGACATTGTGGCTATGGTGCTCAATCGAGGCGAGTGATGATTCTCTTCTTCTTGGATCCTAGAGTTTTGGATAATACCTTAAGGGGCATCGCTGACACCTCAACCCTTCTACAGGCTTCTCGAAAATTACACGAAAGCATGATCCTTGCAATTTTGAGATCTCCGATGACTTTCTTCGAGACAACGCCGGCAGGCCAAATTCTCAATCGGTTCTCCAGGTATGCATTGAAGCGACTGGCCAAAGACCCTTTAACTAAGCCGGAAGTCGCTATTTTTACGCATGTCTAGCGCGTTGGAGACCGAAAGCTGACAACATTCGCTCATAGTGATATCTACCGTATTGATCAATCGCTTCCGCGGCAATTCAATACTTTATTTATTAATAGTGTCAAAGCACTGTTCAGTCTCGCCGTCATCTCCTCTGGAGCGCCTGCGTTTATCTTACTGGCTATTCCCCTCGTCATGCTGTATAGCTATATGCAGCAGTACTACCTAGGAGCGAAGCGAGAGTTAAAGCGCTTAGATGGTGTCAGTCGCAGTCCTGTCTTTGCTCACTTTCAAGAGTCCCTTGGTGGTCTCACAACCATCCGGGCATACCTCCAGCAAGACCGGTTTATCCACGACAATGAGCATCACCTAGATGCTAATATGAAGGCGTATATTCCATCTATTACGGCGAACCGGTGGCTGGGTGTTCGACTGGAATTTATAGGATCAATTATCATTCTGGCCACTGCCGGGCTCGCTCTTACTAACCTGTCACTTGGTAACCATTTGTCTGCGGGCATGGTTGGTTTGATGATATCTTACGCACTGTCAGTTTCAACCGATTCAGTGCCCATTCCTTCGACCTGAACTGACTTAAGGAATAGGCAAATTACGCAGTCTTTTAGCTCACTTGTTCGAGCCACTGGAGAGGTTGAAACGAACATTGTCTCGGCTGAGCGTGTCCTAGAATATACTCAACTACCTAGCGAAGCACCAGAGGTAATACCAAATCACCGCCCCACAGCCAGTTGGCCTTCAAGGGGTTCTGTGAAGTTTGTCGATTATAGCACGCGTTATCGGCCTGAGTTACCCTTGATTCTTCGGAACCTCAATCTCGATTTCAAGCCGTGTGAGAAGATTGGCGTAGTGGGCCGCACTGGTGCTGGGAAAAGCTCACTGGCCCTGGCACTATTCAGGATCATCGAAGCATCTGGAGGAAACATTCACATCGACGACATTAACACCTCGACTATCGGCCTCTTAGACCTACGGCAACGACTCATAATTATCCCACAAGACCCTGCGCTGTTTGAAGGATCCATTCGCGAGAATCTCGATCCTGCTGAGGATCATGATGATACGGAGCTCTGGACTGCTCTTGGTATGCTCTACGTTTCTCTCTTGACTGAATTTGTTATGGCAGTAGTATTAACGATGAATTAAGAGCTTGCACGACTGAAAGAACATGTAGCCAGCATGGCCGGTGGACTAGATGCCAAGGTATACGAAGGAGGTGAAGCTCTCTGCCTCTGTCTTCTGGAAGACAGATACACTACTTGAGGCTAATATTCTTTAGGATCAAATCTTAGTCAGGGACAGAAACAGCTCGTGTCTTTGGCCCGTGCGATGCTCAAGCCAGCGAGCATTCTCGTGCTGGATGAAGCGACTGTGAGCAATTCCTTCCAGTAATGTGAATATGGCATCATTGGCACCCAGCAATGCCATAATTGGCATTTATATGACCCTAACGACATTGCACGAGCTAACTGGCGAATCACAGGCTGCCGTGGACGTAGAAACAGATACACACCTCCAGCGGACACTCCGCGAGAACGTCTTCAGCAACCGAACCGTTATCACAATCGCACATCGCATCAATACAATCATCGATTCTGACCGCATCGTCGTGCTCGAAAACGGCAAGGCTGTTGAGTTTGATACGCCTGCTGCGCTGATGCAGCAAAAGGGGGCTTTCTACCAGCTTGTAAGAGAGGCTGGACTTTCAGAGAGTTTAGGATATTAGACTATTATTATGTTTACCATTACCGATAAAATTGAGATCACTTGATATCACATTTCTCTAGGGGCGTGTAGACAGGGTATCGGATATATTAGATTCCCTATACGAACCATCCTCTCTCGATAAGAGGCAGTTTTAGGCTTTGGACAGCCTCGCATCGTTGAATCTTAGCCATAGCATCGGTGAGCCCGGAAATGCTCTTGGGAATAGAGGACCTTGACCTACTCAACACCAAGCTCGTGGACCGCTCCCAAATCACCTCCAAGGATGGCTTGCGCGCCATAACACCGCTCAACCGTAACCGATGGAGCCTCAACACGGAAGCCGTGGTAGACTGGGCCCGCTTTCACAGGAGACATATCTCGGTCTTCGTCTCGACCCACACCTGGCGCAGTCGAGCCTTATCCCAGCAGGAGGTGGCCCAGACCATCGAACAAGGCGACAACTCCAACTGCAAGATTCCCGAGGTCTTCTTCTACGCCCAGGGGATGCCTGTAGTGGTTAACAAAAATACATACACCGGCTTGAAGGTTGTGAATGGGGCGGAGTTTGCCGCTGCGGACATCATTCCCGACCCGAAATCCCCGAGTTATCATCTTGCGGACGACGTTACCATCCACTTTGGTCCACCACTTGGCATTACTGTTAGAGTCGTAAGAGACTAAGGATTTAGCGATCCCGGCCCTCCCAACCGGCACCGTGCTCATCCGGCCTTTCACGCATACCCTCGATCCAGCCAACTCCCACTACAGGTTTGTGTCGGGGAAATGCTCGCGGTGAGGATTGCCTGTTGTCCCTGCATTTGTCCTTACTGACTATAAAGCTCAAGACAAAACGTTTCTGGACGTGCTCTTGGAGCTGCGTGGAAACCGTATAACAAATGGTCAGCCTTCGAAATGCGACTTTGCCAGCCTCTATGTACCGTTTGTCCATTTCAAAAGTTTTGTCCCACGCTAAAGACGCCATATCCCTTTATCCTTGTTAGTTACCTAAGGTACAAGGAGGGTAAGCTACTGTTCTCAAATCATCCGCTACCCCCCCTATTGCTTCAGGGGGTAATAGGTACTAGCTGCTAAGGATAGTGATTGATGGCGTTCTATAATCTTTGAGCTTCCAGGGCTTGTGTGAGGAGAGAAGTACTTAATGTACTTGGCCTTGCATTGATTGGTTGCCTTCATATCGTAGCGTCTTGGCAGGACAAAACTTTTGAAATGGTCCTCCGTACGGTAATACTCGTTAAGAGAGGCCCCCACGGCGCTCATTGGGCAGCGATGCACCACCAACAGCTCAGCGTCATAACCGCCATTCTCCTTGCATCCAGATTCGGTGGAGGGCCGATGAAGCTCCGTGTCAGCCGACATCACGCCGAGAATTTCCCCGCTGCCAAGCTAACTGCGTCGCGTATCTTCGTGAGGGGCTTAGCACGCCTTGGCACCGGAGCAGATTGGCTGACGTTGCTGAGGCAAAATGGATGGGGAGACTTGTGGTATGGTTTCGGAGGGTCTAGGAATCGACACTCAAGACTCGAGGCTGGAAAACTGGAAAATTAAAAAGATGGGTCGTTACCAGGCCGCAGGCAAAGGCGCCGAGATTTGGAATTAACAAAGCTTGAGGGATTTGGGAAGCTTCCGACAGCGCCCAGACATGTGAATCCATCTATTCATGAAGCGAGGACTTGGAATCACATCGCAGCCAATGTGAAAGGGGGTGGAGCTCTTGCGGAGCTTTGCGGCGCTTGCTTTATCGAGACTAATGTCGGGAAGGGCTGGGGTCTGTGCGTGATGATGACGGATCCTGGGGCCCAATAGGCCGACGGGTACCCGTCGCTCTTCCTAAATAGGTTAAGACCCTTCCGTTATCTGAAAACTCAACGCGTCGCGTTCACTGGACCTTCATCGTCCTTCTCTCTAGCCGAGTGAAGAGCTTGTTGTTCCTCACCATCTTGCTCGGCTCTCCTCCAAAGCTCGCCCATACCTCTCCTATTGGATAGATCCCCAGTGGTACATAGGGCTACATTACTCCGTACACTGCTCGCTCTAGCATCAAAGCTTCCGTGCCGTCCTCCTCATTCCCGTTTCGAATCGTCTGTAGGGTGCCGGCCGGAATGATAGCTGGGTATTTCGGAGACATGGGCATGTGAAAGAACGGCAATATCTACTCCCTCAGTCGGAGCTGGCTCAGCCGCTTCAGGGCTCGGTGATATGCCTGGATGCTGTCTTACGCCCAGGGATGTCAGACCGGCTTTGCATACGACAGCACCCTGAGTGGTGAGGATGTCGTCATCAACGGGCTCGGAGATGGCAAAATGGCTGTGGGAAGAGGCTTGACCATCTTGTGGGCGCTACCTCGTAGTATCAAGTAGCATCGTCACGTCCGGATCCTTTCCGTATATGGCAAATATCCCTCTTCGTATCTGTATGCTGCCTAGATAGGCATGGCTATGTAGCCGGGCTGAAACAGCCTCCATCCAGGTTCCCAACATCACACGCGAGTGACAAGCCATCTTCATGCAGGCTGCCCTGCTTGACTTGGGGGCTCTGTTCACGGGCTCACCGGTTGTTTACGACCAGCGCTGAACGCTAATGTTGCCCAGATCAAATGGATGACTGCTTTCAGAATGCTCACCGCAATGAATTGACGCCAGGCTTTCGTCGCATATGTCGCTTTCCACGTGCTGTGGGAGGGCGCTCCGGCTGCTACTAGTAGCCGCCTGTGGCTGTGAGGGATGTTATTCTTAGTAGCAGCTACTGGTGGCTCTCATAGATTATCAATGACCTGGAACCACAGTAATGACGAGACCAGTGACGGGGATAACATGGCCTGCGGGCAAACGCGATAAGGATCATGGTGGCCAGGTCAAACAACCATTGGACGACAGGGGGACAATGCAAGGTGACAAACAGGAAGGATTGTGGAACAGTCCGTGCCACAATCATATGCACATGAAATTAATCAGGGTGGGCTAGCGAGAAGGGGCGAGAGCCTAATGAAAAATCTTTTTGAATTTTCACGGCCTGCCTGGGGTTGGCGATATTCGTCAACCCCTGACCCCGCTTGTTTCCCCAGCTCTCGTTGCCTCCCAGCCTCTGTTGGCTGTCAGGGATTGTCGGAGAGACAAGCACGCTAGTCGCAGTAGCTGAAGATTTATGGTGGCACCGGCCCACGGTTCTTACGCCTCTAATCCGAGCGTTACGCCAGGGGGCCGGGAGCAGGGGCCGGCCAGGTGTGAAGCGCCTCGCAGCCTCGGTGTGTGAGTGGCCCAATGAATTCAATGTTTTCTCTCCTGAGAACGATATGCCCTCAACAATACCGGTACCGGTAGGGCATGCGGTGCGGGGAATCCGAAATCACAATTGCGGTGATTGGGCAGCAAACAGGCCACTGTCACATATCTCAAACTCTAAGTTGCTGAGAACCTATGGTTGAGCCCATTCTCATTGCATTGCATGAGACGGCGGTTAAATCCTCCGCAAAATCCTGCTAGAGGATCTACCGTAGCCAGCTCCTCCCTGACGCTCGCCCGTTGTCTGTGTCCTTGACTCACTCTCGCTCGCTCTAGTGTGATTGCCCCACCTTTGAAGGCAACGAGGCGTCTGGACACAATGCTTTGATGCGGCTCTGCCACCACATACGTGCGCCTCTGCTTCCTTTGTATCTGCACCCACTTTTGCGTCGTGAACTGAGGTTGGGGAAGGGTGGTAGAAAGCTGATGGTGCTCCTTCGACATTGGGCTCTTATTACCTACCGTAAGGAAGGAGCCTGATTGCAGGCACTGACATTAAAGGTCAGTCTCGCTTGTTTGTAGTCCTCAACAACTTCCCGTCAAAGCCTCCTTTGAATTATATTACCCAGTGCCTGTGGTCTGGCTAGCTTTCACCTGCATCCTCATACACAGACCCCAAGGGCATCTAGTCCAACTATCTTCACCTGTCGCACAACGAAGTCGGTCATTAGGTGACACCGCCTCTTCCTGTGTCGTTTGAAGCTGTACCAACAATTGCCGCTGACTATCTTGGACAAGTGCTAGACAATCTGCCGAACGGTCATGCCTTGCCCTCCGCTTTCACTTCGTGAATACCTCGTCTTCTGTTGAGAACCCGACTTCTGCCCGCGAACCCTGGGCTTCCCTACTACCCGCCACCTTGCTTCGTGGCCGGCGCTGAAGTTGGCACCAGGTGCCCACTACCACGAGGTGCCACGTAGTTGGTCTAGTACACTGGACCGGAACCTCAGCTCTGCTGGGCGGCCGATAGTCCGAGGCAAACTACTCCCTTGCTCCATTCTTACACCATGCCGATCCCGACAGTGGTGCCCGATTTTGAGTACGGAACCAATGCCGCGCCCACCAGCTCCCTGGAGACATTGGTCCGTCGTCAGCTGGAGATTGCTGCTAGGGCAGTGGGCACAACGGCTGTAGCACCGGCGATGACACCGCCGGTCCATCCAAACAGTCTAATCATTGACATGGGCGACTACTTAACCCGGGCTGCCCGCGTGTGGTTCCACTTGACCACCAACCTGGTTGATGGACCTCACGTAGGCATGGCAGTCGTCGATGCGCATGAGCAGATGAGGCTAGAGAACCACGTCTCCGAGTTGTCTCCCATCATGCTCATGGATCTAGAATTTGGAAGACTAAGGTAAGGCAATTTCACACACACCTATCGTTCATCGATGTGTCTTGGCCATTGTGACCAAGCCCGGCTCACATGCCTTAATAGAAAAATTCGGGGCTTGGCTGAGAAGCTGTCTTGTGACCTTCAGAATATTTGGGCGCAGAAACCCTTCTTGGTCTGTGAGACGACGAGCTCCCTGCCGGACTTGGTCCATCTGCTGGAAATTGCTGCCAGAGAAGTGGCCATGTCGGCCACAGCACCAGCGCCGACACCACCGGCCCTTCCAAATAGTCTAATCAGTGACATTGGAGACTACTTGACCCAGGCTGCACGCGTGTGGCCTCGCTTGACCGTCGATCTGTTTAATCGGCGGTTGAGTATACGGAACCACGTCTCCGATTTGCCTCTCACGGTGTTTATGAATGTTGGACTTCGAAGAATACGGTAAGACAATCCAAGAATCGTACCCACAACTCGCGTCTGTCGACATGTTGTGACCATTGTGACCAACCATGGCTAATATACCTCGATAGCAAAACCGCATACCTGGTTAACGAGTTCTCGCGCAACGTCCAGAAGATTTGGCCGCCAATAAAGACGAGTGTTACCGGAAATCCGCCCAGTCAAACGCCAATGACACCTGTGTCTATGATCATATCAAGAGGGCAACCGTTGTATGGACCCATGCAAGAAGTTCAATCGAGGAGAGAGCTGGCACGACGGAGACACTGCATGCTAGTCCTGCATTGTATCACCTTGTCAGGGAATTTATATCGTCAATTCCCGTCCCATGCCATCTTTATAACAAACCTATCTTTTCGGATCGCCTCTACTCAGCTCTTGGGCACAACCGGATACCAAATAAGGAGTTTGCAGTATATGCCCATAAGCAACGCGCAGCATGATGCTGCATCTAGAGGTTCGACTACCCGACCCCGCCGCCTAAGCAGCCTGAGGCGTGGGATGGGAGACAGGTCTCACATCTTGCGAACGACATCTGACGATAAATGCTCTTGATTTACCCATCGAATTAAGGTCGAAAGTGAGTCTTTTACATGAAGATGACGGTAATTGTCCGAGGCGGCCGGAGCCGCTGAGAAAAGCACAACCAGTGTTGCTAATAATATGACAATAAAACAATATATTGCAATACATACAATACAATATGCGTTTTCTGATATTGTACCAATATAATACGCAGGTTGTGATATTGTGACAATACAATATAAGGTTATCCATATTGGCAATATATCGTCTGTATTGGCTGGCGGATCTTCGGGCAAATTGCACTTGTTTTGTTGACAATTAACGTCGACATGTGGGGACGCTTGCGAAGAAAACGCGTAACTGTTTTACGTCAGGGGCAAGAAAACGCGTAGTGAAAGTATAAATTCATGGTCTACAGGGTAGGGTATCGTTCACGGGCAGCCCCTCGAGACCCTCTTCTGTCACTCTACAGAGGACTACTGACAACCTCCATGCCTCAACAACGCCTGCCTTTTGTTCAAACGTCGCAACGAAGAGGGTCGTCAATATCAGACGACTTTTCGGAGCTCTCCAGTCAGCAATTACATGACCCAGACGAGAGCCAAACCTCCAATTGCCAATCGTCGCGACCTCGCACAGTCTCTAGAACCTCCTTGGCCAAGCCAAGAACATCATGGGTCTTCTCCCATATGCCAGACGAGGAGATAGAGACAAGATACTACAATCGACGGACCGGAAAAGAAGAGTGGCGCTGTAAGCATTGTGACAAAACGTATTCCTGTTCTGGTGGAACTGCCGCTCCAGCCAAGCACCTTACGGATCCTCTTCCTGATGGTCATGGCCTCCCAAAAGGCGCCCCCCGAACAGCTAAAGTCATAAATATACGAACTATTCTCGAACAAGCTCGTTTTACGGCCGATGAAAACCCCCGAAAACGCCGTCGGCTCAACGATCAATCCGGAGAATCGATCGACCCTGACCAGCTCGAAGTGTTATACGTAAGGTTTATTACGGCCTGTTCTCGCCCATTTCGGCTTGTGGAATGCCCAGAGTTCCGAGCACTCTTGGCTTGCCTCAATACCGATATCGATACTTGGCTTCCAGATACACACGAGACCATCAAGAAATGGATTATGCGGCAGTATGAAGGCCAGAAGGAGAAGGTCAAGCAGCGCATACAGTCGGCAAAGTCAAGGATTCACATCAGCTGCGACCTTTGGGCTTCTCCCAACTCTTTGGCCATCTTAGGCATAGTCGCTCACTATGTTACGGAAGACGGTCAGCTGGAACACCATGTCTTGGCCTTGAAAGACATCGACAGTGAGCACGATGGTTCTCACCTTGCAGCGGCAGTTTTGGAAGTGGTCGATGATTGGGGGTTTGCTTCCAAACTTGGATATTTCGTGATGGACAATGCAGGCAACAACGATACCATGATGAGATATATTTCTCTTGGTCAGTACGACGCACTATTTCTTCGGATTTGCCCTAACATTCACAGGCCTTCTGCGCCGATTTGACATTCAATACGACCCCAGATCTCACCGCCTTCGCTGCCAAGGTCACATCATCAACCTCGCCGCCAAAGCTTTCCTCTTCGTTACCGACAATGAGAAGCTCGAACACGACGATCCTGGTACATATATTGTGACGCTAAAGGAGATCGAGGCATGGCGGCAAAAGGGTCCTCTTGGCAAGCTTCATAACTTTGTCGTTTTCATCCAACGAAGTGTTCAGCGTTGCCAGAAGTTTATGGCTATTAGCCATAACCGCAAGCTTGCGCGAGATAACGACACGAGGTGGAGTTCGTGGTATATTATGCTACAAGCGGCCTTGCATCTTAGGGACGCAATCGACGGGTATTTTAACAAATGGGCGGAAGCAGATTGCGCTGGAGACGAGCTCTCTTCGGAGGACTGGATCATCCTCGAGAAGATCAAGTCCTTTTTAGAGAAGCTCAAAATGACTACCAAGGCTCTCGAGTCATCGTTTGCAACCCTCGACAATGTCCTCTTGGCTATGGACTTCGTATTGGCACAATTCGAAGCAGGGAAGGAGGCACATATCGACGACCGGATTATGGCACCGATGTATAACTCGGGATGGGCGAAAATGGACAAGTACTATCGCCTTACTGACGAATCGCCTGCCTACGTTGCTGCGATTGTGCTGCACCCTTCGCATAAATGGCACTACATACACAACAACTGGAAGAAGGAGTGGGCTGAGTCGTCAAAGAAGTTGATGGAGACACTGTGGGATGAATATAAACCTGTGGAACCGCATCTTCCTCTATCTGAGGTCCCGTCGACGACTCCGAACGAGTTCTTGAATTGGAGGAACAAGCATCTACAACCAGCGCTTATCACAGATGAGTATGAGCGTTATTGTAAGTCTGAACGGGTTTATGGGTTCACAAGCGCCCTTACATGGTGGCTAGAGGAGACACAGCAGAAAAACTATCCTAACCTGAGCAAAATGGCCGTGGATATACTGTCAATTCCTGCAATGTCTGCCGAACCTGAACGACTCTTCTCTGGGGCAAAGATAACGATTACGGACCGTCGAAATCGACTTGGGGGTGATGTAATTGAAGCATTGGAGTGCTTGAAGTCATGGTTTGGGATTCGAGATTTTCAAGGTGATGATATTTTAGCCACGGCAGGTGAATAATGAAGGTCACGTGTAATATATGGGATATATTGTCACACTGCCAATATATTGGATTCTTGGCAATACAATACAATATCGGCCATGTTCATATTGGGTAATACAATATGCACCCCTTGACAATACAATAATATTGCGAGGGGTCCATATTGCCAATATACGTATTGTTTATATTATTAGCAACACTGGACGCAGAGCTGGTCGGATTTGTTCACTCGACTTTCTGCAGACGCTGTGAACGTAAGCCCGATCCTTTCGTATTTTTCAGTGTATCTTCTGAGCTCTCTCGGCGAACTGTCGCCGCGTTTGAAAACGGGGTGCGGCATGGGGTTCTGTTGGTGGCTATAACGCATGATAATCCCAGCAATCTGTATGGGGCTCCTATTTTGCAGATTTCAACAGTTCTGAGCCCGGATGGTCGAACGGCAAAGCCCGGAGAACCAGTAACTTCCACTACGATAAGATAACGACACCACCCGGATCCCATCCACGTCTCAATCCCGAATTGGAGTGGGAGATCGCAGCCGTGGGATCAACCAGATAGCGGTCGCCATGGCTGAGTCCTCGGGTGTACCCTGCGGGGTCAAGGGGGCCACTGCTCTATCAGTGACGGCGGGGGGGTTATCGTATGGGAGACCCTGTCCGTGCTGGTGGAGCTGAGTGTCCATGCGGGTCGAGACGTTCAGGGACCGAAGAAGCTGGGGACCGATATGATGTAAGGATCCCCGAAACAGCACGTCGGATATTGGACGTTGATAACTGACCAATATCCCGCGATTGAGGGATCGTCGTTATTGGCGCAGTATAGACGACAACGATTCGGCGCCGTATGTGCAAGGGAGGAGGGGGAAAGGACCGAATGTGTGAGATTCAACGGGGAGATGCGGGGCCCAAGGTTGGTATAGGAGAGGTCTTGTAGCGGGTGGAAAGTCGTCATTTATGGCCAAGATGAAGAGATTCATAGACTTAAGCGCGAGCTATAGCTCTCGCAAGGGTGAATTTTGGGGACAAGGATACGAGAATGCCAATGCAGAGAGCAACTTAAAGGGCCGACAAATTACCTTTGGAGGTGGCTGTAAAATGTTGGCAGCGGATGGCCGTTGCTGAGTGTACCAGCGTTACGAAGCTTAGAAAGAGAGGGTCGCCCATCAATTAAACCCAGAATCACGTTAGGTTGCCTCCATGTCCACAGGCGCCTTCCGAACAACAGCGACTGCGGTGGCGGAAGCAGAGGCAAGCATCCCCATGATAGGGGAACGTCATGCTCGAGCCTCACTAAAGTTCACGCTGGCGCAAGAAGGAAATACAGTTGAGCGAATGGAGACAATCCAGGCATGTGAAATACCACCATGGTAAAGCCGCCTGCCCATCGGGCACGACCTCGACCGGGATATGGCGACAGAAACCGCCAGCAGGATGGAGGGCATCCTGGTGGCAACAAGTGCTTCTGAGAAGGCAGGAAGGGTAGGCATGGGCGGCATCGTTCGTGATACCCTGGGCAACAGACCCGGCCAAGTGGTGGCCAGGTACTCGATTACGATCGGCTCGAGAGATGATCAGAACGTGTATACGGCAGAGCTGGAAGCTATAGCGATGGCGCTAAGATGCATGCCGGACGAAAAACGTGAAATTTGACGAAATACATGGAGGACATGACACCGTGCATGGGCCTGTTTGGTTGTATTTTGTCAACTTACAAGCAGTCCTTGGTACAGTATCTGTACTTGGAACATGGCTTGTGGACTGTAATGATCATCGTTCACGTTGCCTGCCCCTTTTTGCTAGCTTCTCGTCATAAAACATGACGGGTTTCAAGACAAGGGACCAGTTCCCAGGTCGGGTGCGATGGAAACCTGAAACCATGATCGTCCGGCAGGACCAGCCACATTGCAGAACGCCAAGGGCAAGCCAAGGCCAAACAGAACCATGCTTCTGGGAAAGGTGTCTCTGCTCTCCTGCCATTGGTCGCATTTTCTCCCAAATTACCCCGCTCAAAGTGTCAGGCTAGGTTAGCCACAAGCCACTATCGCCAACATCCTTTCACCGGGGTTTTCTGCACAGTCAAAGATGTGACTCATGTTTGATAAATTGAGTACCTTTGTTATGGAGTGTCGTATTCTTTTCTCGGTTGGCTGCAGGTGTCTTGTTTACCAAATAGTGCCCCTGTATTGCACGATATCCTGCATGGTTTCATTTCTTCATACCGCCGCTATCGCTTTCCCAAGGTGGAGGGCGACGATGCATCTCTTGGGATGAGGATGGAGCATCGAGGAACGCGTCGCGGGAGCTGGAGACCGCAAAACGCACCAACAGAAATCCAATGGCCGGATATTTTGTTCCAGTTGCTGGAGCCAAGTTCAAAGTCGGGTTCCAGCTGTTGCGTGTCGGTCTCGGTAGGTCGACAAAACCTTCCCAACAGGTTCAGTACTGCTCGTGGCTGCCCGAAGCCATGTTCTAGCGCATGCTAGTCAAATCTCCAATACACTTCTGCAGCAACTTGTTGCTACTGTCTAGCTTCTCATGTCCCTTCTTAACTGCCTCGACGCGGTTAAAGATGAGGAGTAGCGAGTCCTGCAACGCCTTCGCATGCCTAGATCCGCAGGAACAAACGTCAGTGAGCAGTTTCCAAGATGGCCACCCTTGGACACATCTAGCGTTCACGGCAGATCCCAAGTCTCCACTAACCGGCGCAGTTCAGTGTGCATTTCACGCTCCAACGCTTCAACATCCTCGCTTGTCATCCGCGGGCTCATGGCCCGCAAGTCATCCGGTTGAATTGTTGTCTCGACAGGCTCGCTGGTGTCTTGGCTAGGAGCACGAATGGACGAATGTGGCTGGCGCCCTCGCCAGCCAACTGACCTGATCATGGCTGGATGTGGATCGTAGGGCCCAAAGCTAGGAAAGAGATACTGCCGTCCATCTTTGCCATGTTAAATATATAGGATAGCTGGGACTGATTCTGTGGAAGGAAACTCGTATGATCGTGTGTGGCTCGAAAATAGAGCCGCTAAATGAGCTTCATATTCATAAGCCTCGCGGAAGCAGGGCTGTCAAGAGACGGCCTTGGGGGGTTACGCGGTAGTGTATCGCAATTTGACAACGATGAGGGCTATCATACCCCTCTTCACCGATTTGGAAGTGCCGTCATAGTTGGTGAATTTTGGGGTCAGAATGACGTCAGCTCTCTGAAGTTGGCCGCCTGGATTGGTCGCAGAAACTTTGGGCAGACATCGTTCTCGCCTGGTTGGCGAAGCCATTGACGCATTCCCAGTTGACCTTCTGTCTCGTTGCGATTTTCGGGTCCCGGAGTCTGACCCGGTGCCCCATTTGTGATCTGCAAAGACCCAAACTTCATGCCGCCCAGGTGCTCGGGAGGGCTGCGAACCGAACTCTCCTGGGGCCATGGACAAGTGCCTCACTTCATCCAGTTCAAGTGAGTTGTGTGGCATATACCACGAGGCCTCCAAGTTCGTTCTAGTGACGGGCGTGCTCACAGGCTGAGCGGGGAGGGACCGCCTCCGTGTGCTTTGGTCGTGCAACACAAATGCCGGGGAACTTGAGTCTGCAGAGGGTATCTCGGTCGGATAAACCGGGCGCGAGTCAACGAGATGGCAATCGGCGAAGAGGCAGTGGCGGGAGGTCGAGCCGGTAATAGTGCTTAGTAGACTAGCTGCCGATGTTCGGGTGCTCCGTCGTGACTTCGCGGCCTTCGCGATGATTTCGGATGGTTCTTCCCAGTTTCAGTCGCCGTTGTGGCAGGTCACTGCCACCCAGATTTGAAACGCCCCACCAGTCTCACTTTTTTCCTTTCCGCGCCACTCCCGCCAAATATCATGACACAGACACACGCTCATTGGATATCTGAGGAACGAGTGTACAATTTGCCAGCTGGGTGTTTGGGCACGGCCCAAATCCTATCGCGACAAGACACTAGCCTGATGTGATCGGGGTGCTTGGCAAGGAACCCTCAATGATGTTATATCTGCCACTACTGCAGTTTCCCTGCGGGATTCCTCGTTTTGTTCAAATCTTACCAATTGCCGAACTGTTCACTTCCTGACATCGTGAATGCCAAGCTTGGTCGAGATTGTCTTGTATGTACCGGTATATCCAGTCATGCTTAAGGATGAGCACCATCGTCTGGGGGAGACTGACCAGTGTTATAGAAGAGCAATGCGATTGCCAGGACCCAGGTATGATGAAAATGAGTACGAAAAGGGGAACGGGAACGGGAAGGGAAACGGCAATGGCCAAGGACCGGGAGGTAATAAGAATGGGCCGCCGGGACCTGAAGGAAACCAAAAAGGGCCCCCCAGGCCTCCCGGCTCTCCCGGCACGGCGATCAGCACAGAAGCGTCACCACCTCCAAGTACTCCAGCCCTTCCACTAGAGACGACATCGAGTGATCTTCTTCCGCCGAAGGAGATTGTTACCAGCACCACTTCACACTCCAGCACAACGACCACATCAAGTACAGCCAGCCCTACATCCACTTCATCAATGTCTACGACTACCACATCCATCGCTCTTCCTCCCCCAGAGGCAACGTCTTCTCTAGTTGTCCCGCCTCCGGAGAACACATCTTCGACAAGTACTACGACCTTGCCTCCACCGGCATCGGCAGAAACAACACAGATTACACATGGACAGACGACGATCGCCACAATCCCCGGGCTTAGTACCCTTGTTCCTGACAAATCCCTGCTGGCTCCTTCCAACTCGGTTGATATCAGTGCCAGTACTCTCCCTGTTCTCCGGGCCACCAGGTCCTCTGTCGCAGTCAGCCCATCCCGGACGGTATCTGAAGGCTTGTTGCAATCGCAGATGACGACAGAGGTGCCTATAATTGGTCCGCCTACCAGTTCTACTGCTACTTCCAGCACCACTTTCCAACCCGCTGTTGGACCTGCCACACCGAATGACACTGCCAAACCAGAGTATACTGCCGCAATGCCAGACAGGGCAGGCCAAGTGGCAGGAATTGCTGTAGGGTCGATAGGTAAGAGTTGAGTTTCCCAACTAGGGGATGAGCGAGCTAATGACCAATCAGCCGGTTTTGCTTTCCTCTTGACGTTGATACTGTTTTTCTATAAATGGCGCAAAGGAATATTGTCAAAAACCCTCTCAAGCTCCGTCCAACGTCCGACAGAGAAATGGCGGGTCTCTACATGGACTCCTCGCCCCCAAGCCTCCGATGCTATGGAGAATTCGCTCTTAACTTCGGAAGAGCCCCCAAGTGAGAGAATACTCTGGGACTATCAGGCAACCTTCGCAAAGCCTCTAGCCACCCAGAAGCTGCGGCAATCCTTCCGCAAATCTCTCACAAGACTTGTCCGTATGAACCCACTGGCACTGAATCCAGTCAGGGCAGGTACTGCAGGGTCGGTGTCGCCGAGGCCAAAGTCTTTCGCCTCCTCGTTCTTCCGTCGGCATTCCGCTGCTTTGAGTCATGCCGGCGGATCCGGCTGTTCTATGTCGCCGGACCAGCTGGAAGCAGATCCTCTACCGCCAGTCCCACCCGCATATCTGGAACGAGGGCAAGCATGAAGGATCTACCTCTGTATGATGTCAATGTCGCCAGAGGCGGCCATCCTTGACCTGTCTCATATGCTTGAAGACTGGTTGTCCGGCATAACTCAGGAACAGGAAGTGCCCATGCTGGATGCCCTTACCCACCATGTAAGAGAAGAGCTGGGTTACGACGGCGGTGGTGACCCGTCTCGCTGCGAATGCAAATCCCTCGCCATCCTTGTTGATGATGTCTGACCCGGTTGGATCTCTGACACTAACCCTGTGATGATCTCGTCCTGGCTCAACTTGTGCGGTGGCTTGTACTCGATCGCGACCGTTGGGACATTTCGATCGTCGGAGATACGATATATGCAGAACTGATCTGCTCGATTGCCTTTCCCCCGCGCCTTTCGACGTCGAGTTGTTTGGTTGGGTGGTCTGCGGAATTGTGGCGTTGTTCCACTGCCACTGGTGCCCCATAGACATATAGGTAAGTGCATTACTCCACAAAGCTTAAGAGACGGGAGAGATGCTAGGGTGTTGGCAGCGGCTGTAGATGTCTACCTAGAGCCTGTTTGACATTGGGTCTTTTATATGCCCTAATTAAATTTAAGGCCACGGAAGATGGTCTCTAAGGGGAAGGACCGGGGGGAGTGCATGCAGTTGTTGTTTCCGGGAAGGAATGTCGGAACCTTTCATTATGCTATAAAATTGATGCAGGCTGAGCTTAGGAGACTACTGGTAGATCATGGTGAAATTCATTGGTGATATGTTTCTCCATTGTTTCCCTCTCTAGCCCCCTGATTGGTGTAATTTATTACCAAAAGTATTGCCGAATGGCTTTGATGCTGCCAATGCTTGTCAATTGTTAAGTTGGATGAGGACAGGGAAATCGCTGGGAACGCCAGACTGAGCACTTTAAGTACATTTTAGCCCAGCACCTTCATTGTTTGCTTGCTGCTTGTTTGCCTGCTTGTTTGTTAGTATGTGCATGTTGGTTATTTGCATTTTTGTATGCTTGGCAGTTTGGGGCGGGGAGCTGATCCTCTCTGTAATGGACGGAGCCCGGTTATGGGACTCTGGATTCTCTGACCCTAGATGGATCGCGTCTTTCGGCTACAGACGATTCCCTCGAGCTGCTGGCTGTGCGCGGCATGTAGCAAAGTTTGCAAACCGGACAAGTGTCGTGCTGTTTCAGGAACCACTTCGTGATACAATTTGAATGGAAGATGTGGCCGCACGGCAAGTGACGGACCGTGTCCCTTTCCTGCAACGTCTGCAAGCAAATGACGCTAGGTGTGGAGTTAGAGCCTAAACACCGGTGGGCCGAGTTTTTGGAAGTCCTTACCAGGGGTGAAAGGTGCTGGACCGGTCAGCGGAGCTCCCCGCATCTTTCGTTTCGGCTTTCCATTTCTTGTAGGTCCGGGTTGGAATTGTTTGGTCTAAGTTTTCAACTGAGAAGAGACCTCTGGCAGCCTCTAGATCCTCCGGATGGACGCCCACTCGTTCGCGTTCCAGTCGCCTTAATAAATACCTGTGGCCTCTGTTAATTGTCGAGTGGGGGAAAAAACGAGTGAGCCCATTGGCGTGCGAGGAGAAACAGACCAAGGAAAGAATACTATTAGAGCTATGACGAACTCTGTGCCGAACAAGATGAGCAGCGAAAGGTATGCCAGCTGTGCAGGTGAGACTCCCTCGTCCGAAGCAGTGGTGTTAGTGCTCATGTTGACGGTCCAATTATCGATGTCTCCATGGTGCATTGAATCTGGACTTTGTCTTGGCATTTCCGTTATGTAACGTGAAAGGCGAGAGAATTCCGCAGCGCCACCCCGCTTTATGTTTTCTGTGAGCTTCGGGCAGATGCGGTCGGCAGTGGACTGACATTTCCAGTTCCTCAGCAGGCCTAGTCGTAGCGTCGATAGGCCAATGGCAACCTGGAGCTGACATTGCCATGACGCCGAGCAGACGTCTCCATCGCCGACACATGCTGTGAAGTGTGCACCCGCCCTTCCTCTCCCCGCACGTGGTGGCAAAGTAACAAAACAAAGCGTTGAAAGCTTAATATCAAGCCCTTAGACTACCTTGATTGGTTGCATCGTGGCCATAGCTCACCGCCACTACAACTGGCCGTCCGTCTCCTTTCTTTGATATTCGGGAGTTGTCATGTGAAAATGGTCTGAGTGCTGCGGACGGGCTTCCAATGGCGGTTCCAGTGGTCGGCATGCGTGACGCCAGTCGTCAAGCCTTGGCCCATCTTGTTGGTCGCGTCGTGGCCACGGCTAACAGCCAGGGTAATTACCCTACTGGATGACCACACGAACGTATATGCCGCCTAATGATGGCTGGTCATCCTTCATATTCCATCATCTTTTCCGCCGAGCTAGCCCACCGTCATGGAATCATCTTTACTTCCTCCGACTCTATCGGACGTTCAAAGAGACCTGGAAAGCAGTTGAACAATACGTAGGGCCATTCGATCGCCGGTTCCGTCATGCAATTGGAGATTATATCATGGTTGCTTTCAACAGTAGTCAGAGAAACGAGGTCGGCACCTATGATCACAAGAAGTCTTGGTACCAAGGAAAACCAATATTCTTCAAGATTCAGTTTTGGGCGCCGTACTTTTCGCCACCAGAGGACAATATACAAATTCCATGGCGATCGATTTGTGACTATGGCGTCCGGCACCCAGATATCGCGCCGGATACTACGTCAAAGGCCATGACCGTGGAATTCTTCCACTACCTGGAAAGCCCGTTCTGCGGACTATGGTGGAAAATCATGTACAAGACGGACCAATTGCTCGATGACAAACCTACAAACCGCAACTTGATCTGCTCCAATATCCTCAAGTACGTTTTGATACTTGCGGGCCCACGATGGCACGCAGACAGTGGGTTGCCCTACGTGTTACCTTGGCACCTCCCACGATGGGACGAAAGGGAGGGTGGGAAAGAGGATTTTTTCCTTCTTCCCATCTCAGCTGGCACTGTCTCGAAGGAGTACGAAGAGACCAAGCACTCGCGACCGACGATATTACTACCTACCCGAAAAAACATAATGTGGCTCCTTGATATCATTGAGTCCTTTCCCGATCTCCCTGAAGATATTCTGGAACAAATTGAATGGATCGGCAAGGCCCTTCATAACGACGGGTACCAATTTGACCTCCATACCCACCTCTATGCTAAGACTGTGGCTACAGTCCAAGACGATCAAGTCAATCCACTTCTTCGACGTTTTCTATCGCAGACAGACCCCCCACAAAAAGTAGCCCAAAGTGGCGAATTCGTTCACGATGCGGATGAGGGGCGAGACGAGGACGTCCTGATAGTACCTGACGATGGTTGTGATGAATCCTCTGACGAGTCCGATTGATGGTGATGGAGAGAATGATCCCTTCGTATTCATGAGTTGACCACAGCCACGCGCGCGCGCTCTCCCCGTTCTCAGTTGACGAACACTGCCTCGAAGAGCCTACGAGCCTTGGAGGCAGTGCAGCCAGCACGGAAGAGTCGACAGAACAGTACCAGAGAGGTTGGAGAATCAATCGCCACGCTGGTGATTCCTGTATGTACAGTATGGCAGCGTCCTTTGGCTTTTCGGTTGTGAGTGCCTTCTGACTGACGTAAATACGGTCTTAGCCGACGAGTTTATCGCCGAGACGAATGACGAGGCTTTCGACGGGGCGCGCGCTCTTGATCTCCTTCAGCGTCGAGTTGTCATCGATTACGGGAGCAAGAAGACAGGATCGAAAGCGGCGAGCGAAGACGATGCATACTACCCTGTGTTCCGACTCGACTTCGTCAGTATCGTCGGCCGGCCACGTCGACCGATCTGTCGGTCCAGTCATTTCTTCGACAACATCACCATATCCCTACGGCACTGGCACGCGCCATATAGTGCGAAGCACGTACAGGGGATCCATTTCGACCTAGGCAGCCGTACCTTCCGCATCGCCACCGGCGCTACTCGAGAGGCCTGGTTCATTGTGATGCACCCGATTCAGAGGGTTTCCGGTGATGGCCCAAATAGTAATCCACATCGACGGCCTGACGCGACACAAACAAGGACTGCTCTCACATACGGTCGTGCTGTAGTGCTTGCATTATACATCAAAGATATCTTCCTCTGCGGAGAGCTTCTTGGCGAAGGGATCGAGCCGAGATGGGCCCTCGGAGGCACGGATACACAAATGATCGCGTTTGATAAATGGGTCATATTTCAGACTTGCTTCATGGAAGGCTGGGATGGACTTGTCGAAAAGCTTTCCGACCCTGGCGACAGTTTCTGGCTGGACTATCAACCTGCCTTCCATGCGTATGACTATAGCGCGAACATCGAGATCGAAGTCACTGAAGAAATAGCGAATCTCGAGCAGGAAACTCTCATCACACCGATGTATCACGACGACATAGAAGATGACAGCGACCGGTCCAACAACGGAGATGACGATGATTGGGGGATGCAGGGACAGGGGCCAGAGGAGGGAGAGGAACACCCCAACGCTGCAGAGGGCAGCCTATTCCTGCCGATAGAGGCTAGCGAGGCCGCTCTACCATCACCATCTCTTCGCCTCAGCCACAGCGAGGAAGGTCATGGCGGGGAGTTCGAGTCATCTGTTGCCGTCGAGACTAGCCGTGTGACTACGTCACACCCACCGAGAGGCGATCATCATTATGAGGGCGAGGAAGGGGAAAGGGGGGACGAATGTGACGAGGACGAGGACGAGGAGCGGCGGCAAGAGGAGAAGTTCGAAAGGTGGATGAGTGGGGCTGAGAACGCCGACATATCCCTTTTGTCTGACGTTGATGAAGGACAGCCGCAACAGGAAAGGGAGGAAGAGGACGAGCTGTCCCGCCAGCATTCGGAAAGGGACAGAGATGTCGAAGATGAACAAAGAGACACATCGTCTCCGAGCACCCCTCCGCCGTCAGCATCATCATCAGGCTACCATGGAGAGCACGATGCTTTGTATGGTGCTGGCTTGAGGCGACTTCGTAAGGCCCTCGAGGCCAAGTACAACCTCGACAACATCAGTTGTGTCTCCTATGCTCTAGCGGTCGACGTCCACTGCACCGCAGCAAGGACGCATCCAGGTGAAGGAGCTGGTCCTGCAGTGTGCATGCTAGGGACGACCCCATACCTAGACTGACTATTTACCCGTCTGTAGACAAACATCCTCGAGCAGTGACAGTCTGCCCTCAAGACTTCATTACAAAATCATGTCCGCATCACAGACTCGATGTCTCCTGCAAACTCGGAGGGTATGAAACGCTTGCACTCCGGACTCTGCTGGCAGGCTTGGATGAGAGTGTGGTGAACGTCGATGTATGACGAGGTACAGTCCGAAATCGTCGAAATTAGCACCTCGCCATTAGCCAGCGGCTTGCTCAGGGATTCCAGAGTGTAGTCGGTGATGAACTGGCTGACACCTAGGCGCTCGAATTGCGGCTTCTGCTTCCGGGTCAAGACCAGTTCGTGACCGACTTTGGTGAACTCTTCGCAGACATAGCGAGCTAAGTCGCCGGAACCAGCGACTACTACACGCCTCGCGTTCATGGAAAGTTCAATTAATGTTGAGATGGCGGAGGTCTGGTAACGGAAACGACGTGCAGAGTGGCCAGAGAGGTGGGTTACTGACAGATCAATGACAATGTCATCGGGCTCATTGCGGCCGACTTGGATGCTAGATTATTTTGATGGCGTTCTCTACAACCGTATCCGCACCAATCAGCTGAGCGACGAGGTCAGCTGAAAGTGCCTCGTCAGCTGTGATTGGTGTGTTCCCAAAAGATTTATCTGCATGGCCTATCCCCCGCAAACTTTCAGGGACTAGCAGGGCTGTGCTGGACATGGCTTGACATGGGTCTTCAGTTGAGGCTGTGGATACCCGCTGAGTGCCACCAGCACCAGGGATCAAGCCAATTGTGACCTCTGGCAATCTGAAGTGCTGCTAGAAGAAACAAACATTAGGTCACGCTAATTATTTTGTGATTCGACGGTCAGCCCAACATTTCCCATTGTATGCCCACGCTGGGCGACCAATCCAAGGTTTTAATTGGTCTTACCATGAGGGCGACCTCAAAGCGACCGCCAAGCTGAACAGGCAAACATGCAAATCGAGAACTTCAACAAAAGGTGGCGTCAACAATACCACTCACCGCCATTCCCTCGATAGCCGCAATGAAAGGCTTGCACACGGCACTCATCCCCGCGCAAAGGTTCCCGAGGTAGCGGCAACACCCGCGGCCTCAGCGTCTAGCGCTGCGATCTCTTTGATATCCGCACTGGCTGTCACAGGGGCCTGTCAGTTCAATTGCCGGGGTCGCCAAGCTTCCGTGGGGCATTTACTGGAAAAACACGTGTTGCTTCCGGTGATGATGATGGCCCGCATAGCCTCATCCGCTGCAGCTAGCGATAGCTTGTCTAGAAAGACTGAGATCAGCTCGCCAAAGAGCGCATTTCGCTTCATGGGTCGGTTGAAGGTGAGGACTTGTACTCCTTCAGCGGGAGTGAAGTCTCGTACCAATTTTTGACTCATGGTCAAGTCCCGAAAGAAGCAAAGAAGAAAGATAGCGTGTAGAATGCTGAGGGGGCACCCGGAGTCAGCTGAGACGTGGAGCCTGGGATGGCTAAATTGCCAATTTGGAGATGACATTTTGAGGATACACCAAGGACCAACTCTTATCGGCCGGTGTTTGTTGGCTCAAATACTTGTGCGACCCCCAAAATTCGGGCTCAGAATGTGACAGGTAGCAAGGCCAGACATGTCTTTGACCGACTCGGCATACGACATGCACACGGCTAGGCGCATACAGCCGGCGGCATTTTGGCGGTGGAGGTTGGTCCGCCGTGTCCGCACTACTAGATTAGGATATGCATGTTGGCGATCTGTCTCTATTGGGTTGAAGCAGGTTACTATTACGGTTAGTGAAGCTCGTCCTGTCTCGGCGGTGACGGGCGGGGTTGTGACTTGTCACAAATGGGCCACACCGAGTAATCTCAACCCCTCTTTGTCCAACTAAAAACGTCACTAATCCCTTCTTATTCCAGCTATCCCGCTTCGTCCGGTTCGTGGCTGAACAGGGGCTGGAGGAACTAGCATTGACAGGAGGGTCCAGCTGACAATCGCCACGCTAGTCGAGGCGTGCGGTTCATGGGCACGCCAGCCATTGTCAATATTACGTTAGTTCAAGTTCAAGAGGCTGCACGTTGTACATCCATGCACGATGCTGCAGTTCCCGGGTGTTGAAGATGTCTATCAAGTCTTCTTGATTCTGGGCTCGTGAGGCTACTATGATCCATGCGGTTAGCATGGCCACTTGGCAGTTACATACACGCTGAACCTTATCCTAGGGTGAGAGGCGTTCCATTCATTAACATTGTCATGTGGCCGGTGTTACTTGCTCCTGTGTTCCACTATCGAGTTAATGGCCCGCCGTGTATGGTACAAAGGCGTGACGACAAGTCCGCATGAGAGAACGAGAAAAGAGAGAGGCTAGGAAGCCATGAGTTACACTACTTAAACCTGGCTTGATGACATTGAAAAAAGTTCTAGCCGATCTTCCCAAGCTTATCTTGTTTGTCTTGATTTTGATACCATCACCGTTAAAACAACAATCTTAATTTCATTTCACCTTGGCCTCTCTAAACAAGAACGAGGCTTCATACTATGCAGAACCTCTCAGAACGGCTTGAGCCCGGCATGGGGCCCATGCCTCTCTCCTTCAGCTACGGGGTGTTGAACACCCCTCGCTTCTCAACAGTCACCGCAGCCTTCCAGCATCATGTAGCCGTGAGGCCTGATGCCATTGCTGCTCGGGACCTCTCAACCCAGCCTCCATCCCAGATCATGTATGGTGAGCTTGCCTCGAGAAGCGCCAGACATGCACGGAAGCTGCAAGGTCTGGGCGTGGTACCAGGACATCGTGTGGGTATCATGTCCGTTCTCAGCTGTCGTGCTCAATATGTGCCTCTTGATGGAACGGTTGTTTCCGATGCAACCCTGATGTTTGTTTTAGAGCAGACCCGAGGGCGTACTGTCTTGGCTTTACGGTCTACCCGTCATCGGCTATCTCAGATTGACGAATCCAACGTTGTCGTCATTCACGATTTGGAATATGTCGATGTTACTCACCAAAATGTTACCAACCTCGTCTGTCAATCACCCGGTGATCTTGGTATCACACCTGGTACACAAGTCGGTCAGGTACTCAATATCAGCTTTAATATAGGTAAGTATTCCAAGGTTGATGTCAGTTGTTCACAGTGTTGACTCATACCATTACAGCCGCATGGGAGATACTCGGTTGTCTTGTGAATAGAGGCACTCTAATCCCTCGTGGCTCAGACTGGCAAAAAGCCTTACAAGAGGTAAGACAGATTGACCACCAGGAATTCATCATAAGTTCACGTCTAATCACGTTGCAGGTCGACGTCCTTATATGTACTCCAAGCATATTGGCCAAATACAACCCTGTGCACTATCCCAATATCAAAGTTGTGGTTACAGCTGGCGAGCTTTCATCCCAACGGTATATTTCACTTGAATCATATATCCTGGTCTAGGTCTGGGTCTGCATACTAATCCTTGCCTAGACTTTCTGATATATGGGCCTCGCACTGCACGTATTACAATTGCTGTGGCCCTTCAGAGACCATCATTGTCAACACCATGCACAAGCACCAAACCTACCAGCCATTGTCTATTGGCGCACCAACACCAAACAATAATATTTCCATACTCAATGATAACAACCAGGCAACCGACATTGGTGAGATTGGCGCCATGTGGGCTGGCGGGTTAGGGCTCACCCGTGGCTACGTCAGTTTGCCAGAGAAGACAGCTGAGAGATACGTTCACGATCCCTTTATTAACGACGAGTAAGTGTATGAGCTATACGAGCGAATGGACCACGTGCTAACTGAGGTAGGTCTAAAATATACAACACGGGGGACCTTTGCAGCTGGAACGTCGATCGGTCCGTTCGCATCCTAGGTCGCGTTGACGATAGAGTCAAAGTCAGGGTAATAATAATTGAAATGCATTGACTACACTTCAGAGACGCTAAGACCCAATTGCAGGGATTCAGAGAGGAGCTTGATGGCGTAGTCGCCTCCATGAACTCCTGTCCAGCCGTCAACCGAGCCGCAGCTCTGCTCGTTGAAGGAGAGATTCATGGTTTTCTCACTCCCAAAGACTGCGATCTTGGGAAGGTGGTAGATCATGTCAAGAGCCGTCAACCATACTACGCCATACCAACTCATTTCGACTTGCTGGACTCATTCCCCATGACTGTCAATGGAAAGATTGACAAGAAAGCCCTCAGAGCTAGAGAGTCCTTGGCTGAGAAGAGCTCTCCCACCGAGGAGAAGACCTCTACAGAAGTCATTGCTTCTCCTAAGCCTGCAGTCATCAGCCACTCGCGATCCGACTCCTCGGCTTCAAGCCTCACACAAGTCAGCTATACCTCCGAAAAGTCAGAAGCTACTGTTGTTAAAGAGAGCATCGACCTCGAAGCAGCGCTTCCTGAAAAGAGGCAAAGTAAACGTATGCGGGGTCTCCGACATCGCATCCTCATTGTGTATCGCCGCTTGTTCACTCTGGTTGGCATCTTCAATATCGCAGCTGCTCTCGCAGTTATTCTCTCTGGTATCCAAAGAGAATGGCTAGGTACAGTTCCAGCGATCAACCTCGCCCTTGCCGTTCTTATTCGACAGGACTTCATCATCAATGCCCTATACACGATAACGTGTAGTATACCCAAGTCCTGGCCACTCGCCATCAGATCTCGGTGCGCCAAGATTTATCACCTTGGTGGCGTTCACTCTGGCGCTGCAATCAGCGCCGGTGCCTGGCTCCTCGCTTCCAATATTGGCAATGTTGTGTGCATGACTTCAAAATGCTCTAACTGGGGCCCTCAGTCGCTGGCTGTAAACATCATCTCTTGGATACTTTTGGCTCTCTTCTTCGTCATGTTTGTGATGGCGTATCCATCAGTCCGAAAAGCACACCATGATTTATTTGAGAAAACGCATCGCTTTGTTGGATGGGGCATGCTTGGTCTCTTTTGGGCCCAAGTGGTTCTTACCCATAATGATACTAAGGACTTAAGCACATCTTTGGGCAGCGCCTGTGTACAATCAGCCTCATTCTGGCTCCTCACTGTTGCCACTGCCAGCATTGCTTTGTCTTGGGTTTTTCTACGAAAGGTGCCTGTTCAAGCAGAAGTCCTCTCTGACCACGCCATTAGACTTCATTTTGACTGTACGGCCCCAGTCAATGGGTCATTTACTCGCTTGTCTAAGCATCCTCTGCTCGAGTGGCATTCCTTTGCCGCCATCCCAGCTCCAGAGCCTGCAAATAGCCGCCCTAAAGGCTATTCCCTCATTATCTCAAATGCAGGCGACTGGACTAAGGCAATGATAAAAGAGGAACTGACTCATATTTGGACCCGTGGAGTTCCTACTTGCGGCGTTATGCGTATCACTACTCTCTTTAACCGCGTTGTCCTGATCGCAACTGGATCTGGCATCGGACCCATGTTAGGCCACATTCAAAGTCCTTCTTGCCCGATACAACTAATTTGGTCAACACCTCGACCAGAGCAAACGTTTGGAAAGGATCTGTGTAACGTTATCAAGGCCCAGATACCTAACGCAGTTATCCATGATACCAATAGATTTGGCCGCCCAGATCTAGTCAAGATGGGTTATCATCTTGTGCAAAGTTTTAAGGCGGAGGCTGTGATTATTATTGCAAATGAGAAGGTTACTAAGAAGGTTGTTTATGGTCTTGAGACTCGGGGTGTTCTTGCATATGGGGCGATCTGGGATAGCTGAGGCGGATTATTGGATTGTTTAAGTGCTTGATTTGTTGTTACAGAGATTATGATCATGCGTGATTGAGAATCACATGCAAACGGTGACCAGGATGAATCCACCCCAAACTAATCAGCCATGGAATTAAATTATTGAGGGACTCATGGATAACCGCCTCTGTGCTTTCGAGCTAAGCACCCTGGTGGTCTCCGTTCGCTCCGTCGCTTCCTCCGTCGCTGGATAGCGCTTTATTGCCCCGGCTCACTTCTTGGTGGCGACACTCGGCTTCAAAGTTCACATCGGAGTCCTTGTCCAACGGATGGAGACTCAGAGCAGGGGTTGCGTCCAAGTCGCCAACCAAGCCTCAGACACTACCCTCTCCGTGATAACCCATCTTCACCGACCCATCAAGCGCTTTCCTCCGAGCCAGCCCTGCCGCCACCTGTTGCTACAGTCTCAAACAACCGACTCCCCTGATCTAACAACAAATAGCTATTTGATCGGCTCTCGAAGCAACAGGCGGGAGCTTAATTAGAAGAGGATAAAAAAAAAAAAGACAATGCAAATTAAGTAAGAACAAAATGTCTTATTACATCTAGACAAATTCAACAATTCATTCATTTAGCCACCTATCTTGTGGGCTGCTATCTTGCTACTATGACTTCCAATCTGGTGTGATACATGGTTTAGGAGGGCATCACGAATACGCGACATCAAAGTACTTTGACAGCGGCTAAAGACACCAACAGAGGGGGGAGCCAGTTCAAAGCGACCTAAACTAAGCCTTTCAAAGCGACAGATGTTAGCAAAGACAATAGGTCGAAATACATAGCGGGAGGGATTCATAGGTTCAGTCTGAGAGTGTCGTTTAAGCCGGAGTGGACATCTAATTTGAGGATATCACCCTAGGAATCTATGACTGAGAAGAACCGTATTTCTTAAAGAAATCTTCCACTGACATCGGCTCCAATTCTTGAAAGCGATCATTCAAAAACCTTCCGTTCAAGTCCAGCCAGCCATTCACCATAGCAAGCCCAGCAGTCTGGTATATGCTGTCAATCATAGCCCTCGGCAAGAAGGCATACCGCTGGACGTTCACCGGCAGTTCAGTACTCTTGCCGGCTTTGAGATCTGCGACCGTGTCATACGAGACGTCGAATTTGCAACCTGTGCCAATCAGCGAAGGGCCGCGACTATGTGACACATTTGGGAAAAAGAAGAGACAACTTTTAGCGCTCTCAGCGAAAGCGACCATCGCGTTTAGAGTGAGCCTGTCTCCGCGGATGACTGAAGCCTCTGGCCACTCCACAAGGTCCAAAGAAGCTGCGACAAATCGAGCTACATCTGTGCTGTGCGTGAGGACGACAGGGTTATTGCCATCACCAGGCACAGTTGCCTTGCGGTTTTCGTGATCAACAACGAGAGATATGACGTTCAATCGCGTGGGTGCCTGGGGAGGCCCGAAGTAGTCCATGAACGTCCCATTGATGAAACGAGTGTACTCCATTGTAGGGACGTCGCGGAGTTTGTTTATAGCTGCTACCTTGTACTCAATCGACGGGAATGGGCAGTTGCTATGTTAGCAAAATTAACTGCTGCAACCTGATTTTGGGGTAGAGGGAATAATACGCCTTGCTAGCTACCATGTAATCGATTCCAAACTCGCTAGGGGCAAATCTGCGCACAGTGGTTGACTTCACGGCTCCCTCAATGAGGTTCAGCTGGGCTTGGCTATCCTCTTCAGTGTTCATGGTAAGACATGAAACCGTGGTGTCTATTACATTGTCCTTGAGCACATCCGCAATATTATCCGGGATGAATAGTCGACGACCAGAACGGTCACCTCGGGTTGCTTCAGGAAAATATCGGTTTCCTGGCGATAGTTAGTTATGCTTCAGGAAGCCAGGATATGGGTCTAGTTCACGACAAATACAAACCTTACGCGACAAGACAAACACATCGTGCTTCTTCAACGCAATGATAGCCTCAACGATAGTGCCACCAAGGCCACCTGTGCCACCTGCAATTGCAACTCGGGTCATGCTCTAGTATTGATAACTCAGGGCTGTGATACTTTGGATGCTGCTAGATGCTAGGAATGTGATGAAATGAACGAGAACTCATCGAGGATATTTTACTTTATACTTATGCTCGGTCACTCTTACAAATGGACTCATCACGGTCATATTCACATGAACGGCAATGGAACTCCTACGAGCCCGAGCATAGCACCAATTACAGGCGTCGGACATAGGACAGGAATTTATCCGTCTTACTGTACATGTCGGCGGTCGGTGAACCAGCAGCCGACACGCCCGGTCCAGCTTCGGCCGAAATGCGGATGTACCATTATCACTTATCCTCCATCAGGAGAAGGCATGAGAACTTCGGCATCGCCTTGACATCCTTGGTCAAGCCAGGCACGGTGCCAAATTCAACCTCCCTATCGCCGACTTTAGCCCCGTCCGAGAGTGTGAATTGTAATAAGTTACAGGTGTTCCTGTCGACGGTCCTGTTTCCTGTCCAAATTGGGTCACGTGTTACATCCTGTGCACGGACTTGTATATGATCGGCTGCATCAACTTGGATGTTTCAAAACACAACACTCTCCTTGACGTGTGGCCAGTAACGCTTTTAGGAGATCAAGACAAAGCTTGGGAAACGGACCTGTAACATAGTAATAATTTCCTATTGGCAGGAAGCCACCGGGCGTAATAAATTGTGTGTGTGTGTATGTAGGAAGTCCTGACACACGTCGGGAATGAGACACTTGAGGTTGCCGGCATGATCAACGACATGCTCATAAGTTGGGAAAAGATGCATCAACAAAACTCCATAGGATAAATAAAGAGTTGTTCAAGAAACAAAGATGGTGAAACACACAACGGTGGTGCTGCCAGAAATAAAACGACGTGTCTTCACTGCCACCCAGATGGAGCCAAAGCAATATGCCGTTCTTTGCCATTAAAAGTAGGGGAATGAGATAACTGCACTCTTTCCTTTGAACCCGCAATCACCTTTTCTCGCCATTTTGCGCTTAGTTTTCCATTATAGTACGTCCACAAGCGCGGCAGAATTTGTACGTCTTAGGCGCAGTAGAGCTTGATGCAATCGGGCAATGGGCGTTCATTGAACACCTCATACTTCCCGCCCTTCTCCGGAGCAAAAAGTCGAAGTCCCCTGTCCTTGGTTTGTGTCCAGGTCAGCCTTTCCTGTGAGGAAAGAGGCGCGTCTCTCTCGATGCACTTTGAGAGTCCATTGACACATTTCTTAGGAAAAGTTCGCGTTGCGAGCTCCATCAGTTGGAGATCGTGTATACCAGCTAAGTCGATCTGAAAATGAGTATGTAGTGCATCCGAATCGTTACGAACGTCGAAGAAAACGTTGGAAATGAGTTCAGATTCCAATATTGCTTTGAGAGTGCGGCCATTTCTCCCGGGTGTCGAAAAACACTTGTCGCGGAGCGTGTATACATAAATCAGATAGGTACGCTTGGCAGGGAGGATGTAAATTTGCAGGATTGAGATAGTGCAGTGTCGAGAAAGGTTGATACCTTCAAGGTCGATAAATATTGATGGTGGCACTGTTGGTAGTCCGTCGAGAGAGTCGACCATTCCTGACAAGGTAGCCGTATTATCCACAAAAACCAGACTAGGCGTATCATCGAGACTGATTTCATCAAGTTGTTTTGTGGCAACCTCCAGACTCCACGCTTTGTTCTTCATGTCCGCGTTCGGGGATGTCGACATAGCGGGTGTTTTTGGTTCTGCCTTGGGTGAGTACATACACATTGATAAGACAACCGAACTCACGACGTGTGTTAACGCCTTGGCAACTTAGGAAGGAACTTGGTGCTAAACAGGCAAGCTTGCCAAAGAATTGGTTCCTGGCACATCTAATAGTAGTTCGGTTACCCCAATTTATGTACGAGCAAGTGGGAACGGCTACCTTAGCAAGCGATGGTTGGTACGTACTGTTAGTACATGCTTTTTCTGGGAGATTCGGGTGGGTCAGTTGTTTAGTATTGCTGGTGACTCCATGACTTTCTTTTCTTGGATGAAGCAACACTATACAGGAAATTTGCCTCCCGCCTTTTCGAATGTGAACCACCTAGTAGCAGCACAGCACTTGCGACTGACGGCACGCATGATTTGAATTCGAACGCCTTCCAACAGCTGGCAGACTGTGATTCGGTCATCTGGAGCGGCATGCCTCCTGCACGGACTGCTATCGGCTGCCAGAGGGATAAGGACCAGCAGATTCAGGCGGGGTGTCTCAGGTATGATACGCACGAGAAACATATGCTCACGAGGATTCGTCCTCTTACAATTGGAAATACAATGCCAGTGGACATCAGAGACAATGCAGCCCAACGGATGTTTCCTGAGGCCCACTCTCAGAGCGGCCCAGGCAGCCTTCTCTGGACTCTGTAGATTTACATGTCTTGGTGAGAAATCTGCGTCGATCAACGAGACGAAAGCCTGGCGTGCGATAAAGAGGCGAGGCCTGACCAGTCATTACTCAACTGCTTCGAAAGATCACATCCCGCACGTAGCGGAAGGCTTGAGTCTCATTGCTCTTGCTGTTATTGACTACGTCCGTAATGGCTTCCGACGGCCGGGATCCTCCAGCACGACATGAATCTGACCTCCACCATTGTCAGCACATTTACCGAGTTTGGTCAGTCATACACTAGTCACACTCATACAATGACAGTATCCCTGACCCTGACGGACAGCGAAGGGAACACCAGTTGAGCACTATATTGGATAATGTAAAAGAAATCCTTATGACCATCTGGCAGTCTTCTTCTCTTATCATATCTTCTCACTGCCCATCGTCACTCGCGCCGTAGGTGTTTGATCATCCAGGCTTGCGATGACTGAACGTCTAGTTATGCGGGAGGCCCACCACACAACTGTCATGATACAGCTGCGCAATTTCGCAAGTCGGCAAACCAGATTCCCCCGGTCTCCCAAAGTCTTCCAGCAGATTCGGTGATATGAGACACATCGGGTGAAAATTATTGGTGAAGAATTGACCCGGGCAATGCTCCTTGTACGATGCAACAAGTACGATGATCCACCAGTGCGAGATTTTACAGGATCCCAAACCACAGCGATTCCCAGCAGAGCCATATAGAGAGGCGACTTAGCTTCCTGCATCAGTGAGGGGGAGGGCATCCATAGCCGAGCCTAACCTAGGAATATAAGTGAGTCAGAAAGTCTGTCAAACAGCGCTCGTTGTACAGCTTGGCCTCCAGTCCAGCGATAATTGACCACGCAAACACGACAACATGAACACAACCGCATCAATTCCAAAGTCCTCTAATTACATAGACCGTTTAGGCTGTCTCGCTCATGTCCCGAGAATATCTGAGGTCTCATGTGTATATCCTTCAACCATCTTCTGCATCGGAACTAGACAGGAAGCGACGGTGTGGGCAGTGTCATCGAGGTAAAAAGACCTTACAATACTGTGTCTACATCTAATGTTGAAAAATGAAGTTTTATAGGACAGAAGCCTCCAAAATGCTGCAGCCTCTGCCTCATTTTTCTCACCGGCTATCCAATCAGCATGCTCGCTTGAGTGTCCTTGTCCCATGCCATGACTTGGCAGTTAGCTATTGGATGGATCTCTGAGCCTTGTCGCCTTTATTTGCTAGCACTGGCAGATATTCGTCTGGCCGTGTGAGATTTTGTGGAATAGGTCGCCAGGGTCGGTCCCATTTCGAATCAATGTCCGTGCCTATGCATTTGAGGCCTCCCAAACATGCATGGCGGCCTGATGCCGGAGCTCGACCAACGTGGTAACGAGAAATCAGACATCCAATTGAGAGATCACCCTCCACAGACCGGAGGGTCGCATGACCCAGCAGCAGGTCGTCATTAACAAGTTTTACGCGGATGCCTCGAGGATGCCTCAAGCAAGACAACGGCATTCCCTCAATAGCGCATCGACAAGCATGAATACTGTACAATACGGCACAGCCTGGAGGCGGTCCAATCTTTGAATCTCAGATCAGATGCGCTGTCTAAGAACCACTGTCTTCCACCCCCATCAAGCCTCCTCTCGACATAATAGACCATGAGAGGTGAACTACGGCCATGAAACATCCCATAGCCAGCATTAGGGTCAAGTGCCAATGGGTTACACTATATTCTCCCTGGGTTCCTCTCAACTTCATGTTTAAAGTGTCGGTGTGACTGGGCCAACAACCCACGTCAAAGTGAGGCATGTGGCGCGGGATATCTATGCAGTCGTATCATCTGTGTAAAATATGTCGGTTGGGCCGTTGCGTCCCAAAGAGTGCATATACAGTAGACGTGGCCCAATGCCGATGATGTAACCTCCACATTACTTTCCGGGGGCGCCGGAGTGTGATACCATACCCTTCATAAAGATGTTGTGGTGTCAATGAACTCAGCCAGTGTTGCTAACAATATAAACAATACGTATATGGCAATGTGGACCCCTCACAATATTATTGTATTGCCAAGTGGTGCGTGTTGTATTACGCCATATGATATTGGCCCATATTGTATAGTATTACGTGGCCCAATCCCCTTGTGCCAACATTTCTTCTCCTTCGGTAAAATACTGCTCATGATGTCATCAAGTCTGCACCACGTAACATGCACTTTCCAAATGCAATACGACTTAGGTAGTCACGCGCCTCAGCCCGAGAACTCAACCAGGGGAACACAGGGAGATACCACAACATTCCTAAGTGTAAGTAAAAATAATGATGCCCGATTTTACCACAAGCTACATGGCCTATTCGTGATTTCCTCTAAGATAACATCCAAATATCTATTGGTATAGATAACAGTCGGTCACATGGACTGCATAATTATGGAGTATCTGTTGATTGTCTCAAATAACTTCTGCATCCGCTGATTTGTACCCGCTCAGAAGGTTCCTTTCACCGGCTGTGGCCGATAAGAATATGCAACAGCGTGTCCGCGATTACGGAGTACAGTTCGAACGATTTGGTCTTGACACCCCAAAGCCCCACAATTGTTTTTTCCATTTCCACGCGTTGGTCTGAGTATTTCACACAAGCAACCCTCAGGGCCTTAGTGATAACCGCTGTAGAGATGCAAAGTATCGCCTTTGATCAATGCTTATGGAAAGGAGACCCTTCATCAGTTAGATAGCAAGAATCCTCTGCTCCCCTCTGTCGGAAAGGGGAGGGAGAAAAGGCGGCGCTGCAGCAGTAGCTAAATTAGGCTAGGCTAGTTTGGCGCTACGTTATCTTGGATTCAAGCTTATTGCATCCCACGCTTATTACCCCGCTCAAATCACTTCTTGATCAACAAGACTTCATTGCAAAAAGCAGGCAACATAGCCAGATTCAGCTTCAATAAACACTCTTCTCATTCTTCATTCTCAATTCTTCACTGTTTGAGCATTCGTAACTATATGCTCAATTATTCTCGCCCTGGAAAGCTTCAAGATGGCTGAACATTCCCACAGAGCAACACTGAGCGCTGCGGATCTCGCAAAAATCGCACGTTCGCCAGCAACTGTGCGGCAGGTACTCGCTTCGGGCACGTTATCTATTGATCAAGAAATCATGGTCAGATCCCAAGTGGCGGACCTTCTCATCCTCCTGCACGAGCGAAGGGCGCAGCATCATCTATTGAGCGATGCCATGCAGCACCTAGACACTATTCTGCGTCGTCTTCCACGAGACTCGCCAGATCGTCCCAAGTACTTGAGTAACCTGTCGTATGCAAAGATGTCGGAATACAAAATGACCAGTTCCCGACACGCTTTGGACGAGGCTGTGTCGTATGGACGACAAGCTAATGAAATGGCAGCGACCATTGACCTCTTCCATTGTGACCTAAACGTGTATCTCGACATACAAAACAACTTGGGGTTCGCGCTCGCTCTACGATACGCTCTGATACAAGACCCCGAGGACCTCGACGGCGCTGTTGCATGCGCAAAAGAGACGTATGACAATGCTTCAAAGGACTCCAAATCGTACAATTTCAGTCTCAATAACCTTGCCTCGCGCCTCCGAATGAGGTATCTTCGAGATCAAAATCCAGATGATATCAACGAAGCACGAAGACTAGCCAATGAACTGAGATCGAGAACGACTGCTGGTACAACTGAGCACGCCGCGGCCGCTGCTCAACTAGGGTTCATCAATGCCGAAAAATTCAAACAGACGGACAAGCTTGAAGACTTAGACGAGGCTCTTAGGTGCTTGAAAAGTGGTCTGCTAGCTCAGGCAAAGAAAAGACTGCTCTGTTTGTTCACTGATCCTGCCGGCAATTACAACGAGGTCCGGGTCGCTTCATCCGCGACTTGCGGCCATTGATCCAGAGGTCCAAGGGGTTCGCTTGAGTACCGGCAGGCTCTCGACGAACGAAAAGTTGATGAGGATTGACTACGGGAACAAGCACGTTAGTGAGCTGAGAGTCTTGACGCCTCAGAACTACTCTCAGGCCCTGCGGCAAGCTTGGGAGATGGATGCACAATCAACGCTCTCGGGGATATATTACAATCGCAACGGCCCGATCTATGATCAGAGTCAACAACGAATCAACCCAGACCTAGTCAAGTCGTGGCTGAATAACTGTGATCACAACCACAGCTTCGCTTGTAACCATCCGCGATCTGGAAAGCGGGCAGAGAATAAAATGCGCCTGACTCTCATTGACGTCAAGGAGGAATGCTTGGTATCTGCCTCCTCAGACGCGAAGTACTTTGCCTTGAGCTACGTCTGGGGCCGGGTGGACATGTCCAAGACACTGAAATCCAACTACGAGGAGCGAAGTCAGCCTCGCTCTTGGCCACGATCCGATTTCCAAAGACCATTAGGGACGCAATGCAATTTATCCAGTCACTTGGAGAGAGATATCTCTGGGTCGATGCCGTTTGCATGGTGCAGGATGACGAGGTCCAGATGGCCGGAGACATTCCAAAAATGGACATTGTCTACGGACAGGCCTTTGCTACCATTGTCGCACTTGAGGGTACTGATGCGGATGCCGGCTTGCCGGGGGTCTGTGCGGGAACAAGAGAGCCTCAGAAGATCACCACTCTCACCATCTCCAACAAGTCACTCGATCTTGATGACGATCCCGACAGCAAAGGTAAGGAGATAATTCGTCTTACAGCGACGCCGCGCCCTTTGCACCTCGCCTTGGAGCTCTCTCAATGGAACACTAGAGGTTGGATCGTGCAAGAACATCTCCTTTCGAGGCGTTGGCTGTACTCTGCGCTAGATGTTGTTTACTTTCAGTGCGGCCAGGAAACGTTGAGTGAAGGAGGCGCTAATGAGGAGTTTGAAGCGCTCACGTTTGACCAAGCGGCTTTGTCAGATAACCACATCTTGGAGAAGGCGAATCGCAACAATCCCCTTTGCAGCCTGGACGTTATTTACGACCTTACGCTATGTGAGCGACTCACTAAGGCTTTCAACACCTACACGAAGCTCGTCGGGACCTACAGCCAACGAAACCTGTCCTTCAAGTCCGACATTCTCAAAGCCTTTGCAGGAATATTTGCAGTGCTCGAGGAACATTTCCACGTCGTGACACTCCATGGACTGCCAGCAGCGGTAATCAGTCACGCCCTTCTTTGGTCGCCTGCGGCAAGAATTCCACGTCGAGGCTCTCAGTTGCCTACAAATTTGACCCTGCCCACCAGCGGCCCTGATCCACAGTTTCCAAGCTGGTCGTGGGTAGGATGGGACGGCCCTGTGGAATATCGGGTATTCGAGCATTCGAAGGGGGAGATGGTCCTGCCAGCCCCACGAGTAAAAGTTTATGACACCATCAACGGCCCCATCAGCGACATTATACAGGGGCAAAAGGGATCCCTTGAGCCCGCACACCAAGCACCCGACAGGACTGGCTCCCCCGATAATGGAAGAGACGACCAGGGGGGCGGAACAGGCAACAGGCCGGACAAAGAAGAGCACCCGAGGGAGCATGTTCTCGCCAAAATGGTCCCTGACCACTTCCGTGGCAGCATCTGGATCGTAGGAGCGCCGCAGGTACCCCAAGACAGAAAGGACCCCCACATCGCGACCAAGCTGCTGCGTTTTACCGCGCGTACTGTTCCCCTCCCAGCATTCCAAGTCATGCCTAATAAGGAATACCTCAGCTGCATGTCCCAAGTCCATGTTCGAAGCTCCCAAGCCGTCCGCCGCATCCAGGACCGTAACGGCAAGCACTGCGGGCTATGGTGGGAGCAGGCTGGGTACGGCTATGTGGGACTGGGCATCAGCCCGGAGGCGGAGAGCAAGATTGACATGCACTAATAGTCTGCACTGCAGTGTGAACTAATCGTCCAGTTAATAGTGCGCACTATTAGGAGCGCTGGACCGTTCAAGTATGCTGTAAGTCTAGGTGCAAACCTTGTTTTCCACAGCTATGATTTTATTAGCTTTTTCAACAGTAACAACTGCCCCATAAATCTTGCCTTAATGTCTATGGAAATCACTGGCGGCCTTCATTATTCAGAACTTCTTTCAAGTTGAAGAGTCTTGGCGCTGAGATAAAAGGAGTGGTCTTCGAGATGAATCAGGTCCTTTCGATCAAGGTCCAGGACGGTGTCGTGCTCGCCACTGTGTCCAACGTTGGCTTTGGCAAGGTTGATGAGGGAGTTAAGGGTGGGATATTCGATCTTGAGCTTGATGGAGTAGACCATTCCCTTGATAGCGGTTTGCAAGTTGTACGGGTTGTTGTACTCGAGGACGAGGATGGCGACGTCGAGGATGATAACAAGAATATTAACCGCAACGAGATGGTATAGCATCCTGGAGGCCTGGGCACCATGGAGAGCTTCTTGCATCTGGAAGGCTTTGTAGGTATACCAAATGTATAGGCCCGAAATAATCATCTCCTGGATGAAAAGGGACACTTGGATCTTCTCGTATACCGGGTAGGCGGTGACGTAGGGACTGGGTTCTAGGGCCAGAATAGCCCGGTACGCGACAATGATCGTAGAGACGTGGCCGATGAAAACGTTAGTAATAATCATGGCCAAGACCAGGCGTAGGATCCTCTTATTATATAAGATAAGGTGTAGCCGTGAATAAAGAACGAGGGAGTGGCCAGTGACCATGGGAACCCCGCCGATCACAGCGATGGTAACCCATGCCGCAGCATTTTTGAGGACGCCAAAGTTCCACATCAGATAACTGATAGTATGGAAAAAGATGCCCCAGGTAGCAAAGAAGAAGCTCCAGAAATAAAGGCCGCTTTTTTGCTTAAATGTAAAAAATATGATGACATTGAGCTCAATGGCGTTGTATAGGGCGATGAAGGATACCATCGCAAGACCGATGGGGCCATCGACCGAGGAGTCGTTCACATAGCCCATGTTGAAGGGCAGATGGAAGACGTCTTGAGAAGTGAGCGATGATGATATCGAGAAACATGAAAGACGGCCAGCTGAGAGAAATAAGAACTTTCATCTTGACACTGATGAGAACCCTGGGAGTCAATGCGCTAGAAATGGGCTGAAGGTTAATGGAAAGCATCGACAGGAGTGAAACCAATCGTAGGGCAGAGTTGTCCAAGGGTTCACCTCCATCAGCACCAGCCCCTTATGGAAACCTGCCCCGGACTGTTGTTGCGTCTGTCGAACTGGTCGATTCACCTCTGTGGGGATTGGGGACGGAACACCACCACACTACAATGGCTCGCGGTGAAGTAGGGTCACCAGTGTTACAGGCCCGCTTTGCTTAGAGCAGTGGGCCGTGAGTCACGTCATGTCCCTACAGAACCTTCTGGACTTTGCCAAGCCCCTCGGCATATCATAGTGGAGGGATCTGACAAAGTCTGCCGTGCACCATCTCAAAGGTATCTCTGCTGCCGACTGTATAGATGAGGTTTGTCGGGTAACGGACCACGTAGGATGATGACGATAACGAAGGAGACGAGAAGAGTAGGATAAGCAATAAAATCAACTCTACTACAGTTGATATAGTTATTGTACAGTAGGAAGAAGACGTTTCTGTCTAACATCGCCAGGGACAAGCACGTCAACACCGATGCGCTCCTGGAGGCCCTCGAGCACAGTAAGATACGCGGCGCGGCCCTCGATATGACCAACCCCAAGCCCCTGCCTGCGGGTCATTCCCTGGCAAAGCGCCGAATGTCTTCATCACTCACATGTCAGCTGGCCGACCCCCAATTATGGCGGGATCGCGGAACCTATGATGGTCTCCGCGGTGCACCATTGTTCGACCAAGTGTCAAGATACTTGTTGAAGTCGTAAACATCACCTCGCTGCCTAATCTTCAGTCTGCTAAAGTATTGGGCCAGTAGATTCATGTTTGCGAGTCCGCAGCGTGGCTTATCTGTGCGCCGGAGCATTGCTCGATTTTAAGTTAATCCCCACAACAATAGTGATTTTTAGTGCTATCTTGGATAGATACTGTTGATCATGATGCTTGCCTGTTGCCCGTATTTCCCTGTTGGCCTCATAGTCGTTTCGTCGGAGACTCCTCCGGCTGATCCGTGCACCCAGCACCTTGATGAAAGTAAGTGTCGCAAGGATAACGCCACATTGGGACAGGGACATTCCAGCAAGCCCCTGCACTGCAGCCACTTACTCCGTAGAGTAAGTTGTCGACTGAGACTAAGTGCGGGAGAGCTTCGTTTGCCGCACTTACCTTAATCATGTCTGGGTATGCCGTAATGCTTGGGAAAGCCTTGTCTAGGGCAATGTAAGGGGCCGTATCAACACTTGAGGCTAACACATTCCTTCCTGCCCAAAAATACCGCAAAATAGGTGGGTAGCTCCAGCCCAAACTTCTGTCGGTTGCTGAAGAGTCAGTTCGCCTACTTCAAAAGCCAGCTGACGCCACCAAGTGTTAGCTCCGCGTAGCCCGGACAATGAAGAAATGATATAAGTTGATGGAGAAACATACCCATTTATGGCACAGATGAATATGGTAGAAAGGTACACGCTTACAAAGGGGCTTCCAATCAGCGGAAGAATTCGGCGGTAGAAATGACCTCGGCCTTTCTGCGCGGAAATTCGAGCTGCGTGTCACCTTTGGGATTCGGGTTCCCTTTGCTGCTGAAGTGTCGAGTGACATACCATCTCAGCCTTGTCACCAGACGCTAAGGTCAGGCTGGTACTATGGCATAGAGACGATGGCAGCGGCTTGATCTCCACATAACGAAAGTTGATGGCCGAGGATTCTCGTCAGTGCTAGAAACACTATCTTCCCGCCACAGTGCGTCACTAACACAGGACCATGCCAGCGCCAAGCGTCCCAACCCTAGAATGCGGTAGAACGGACAGTAGCGCAAACTCAAACTTCACCCTGCACGGCCAGCTCCGCCGGGGGGATGTATCGGCCTTCCGCAAGCCACAAAATGGCATCAAAATGAATCATGTAAGGAGAGCGTCGATCACGGTGCAGGAGGCCCAGTACCTGCTTCCCCGCACCGGGCCCTCCAGGAATGCGAACGGAATAGCGCCACCTGGCTCAAAATCAATCCGCGCCCCTTTCAAATTTTGTCCTCTGAATGTTTCATCCCCATGAAGCGATCGTGATCCACGATATTACGACTCATGGACCCACCCACAAGGTTTCGTCTCTCAAGCGCTAAGAGCAGCAATTGTCACGCTTGCATGACGTCTGGATATCAACGGCCCGTGGCGTTAGGATGCCATGGCTTCCGCCGTCAACGATGCACCGGTGCCGTTGCTGCCCCAGGGGTGGACAGGCCAGGGGTGGACAGGGCCATTTCGGCTATGATAGGAAAGACCAACGCCTCGCATAATAACAATTTGTTGGATTGTGACCCTGTATTGCGAAACCTCTGATAGATCGATATCCTGACCTTAGCCAGAGGGGGCGTGAGATGACATAAAACCCCCCTCGAGAAAAGAGGGGGCCGGAGGCATCCTAGATCAAGACAATCAACAGATTCAGGATCCACACCCTATTGAACATTAATCCCTGAATTGAATGTGCCGTACGCTATCCAACACAATTTGTATCAGTAGCTATTCTAGTAAATAACTCACTGTCTACCTATTATGCTAGCAGCATCTGGTGTTTGATATAATAGATGCTACCCAAGATATTGATGCTTTCGCACCGCGGAAATCTGGAAATACACCGAAACCCTAGCGCTTATTGCTCTCTCTATAGCAATGGTCGACCTATTGCTCATTCTTAATTTTCTTCTCGACGACGGGGGCTACCAGGCTAGAGATTGCACATTAGGTGCTGGATTGTACAGAGGAGGGACCCGACGAGATGTTATGCTAACTTGGAAGGTATACTCAGATGTGGTTAAGATGGAAAGGTCATTTCTAGCTTTCCTTAATAGTTATGTCTTTTCGCCTTTAGCAAAGTTTACTGCCGCATTCCCTTCTCCTGGAGTTGCTTAGTCAACTTCTCCTCCTCCTCGAGTAAGTGGTTATCCTGCCCAACTGGGCCCACAGTAGGATACAGTGCCTCTAGGGGCACTTCACGAACATTAACAGACGAGTTGTCCTTGCTTCCGATAAGCAATGTCTCAATAATATTACCATCGCCATATTGCGGCTCCTTTAGGACACTCATCATAACCGAGGCGCACTGCTCAGGCGTGAGAGTCAGGTTATCAGGGTGCACCCTATCGCGGCAGTATTCCGGGTGGAAGATTGGTGTCTAGAAGTAGGAAGTGACGCCTCATTAGCAAATAATCCAACAAACGCCATTAGACACCAAGTGACTCAGGACTCGCGATGTAGCCAAGGAAGAAAGCAGTTTAGGAAGGAATCAAGGGAGGATAAACGTACGTAAACAGCACCAGGGCAAACAGCCGCATTCCTAATACCCAGCCGCTTTCGTAGCTGGCCTAGAGATCGAACAAAGCTCGCAATGGCTGCTTTACTAGAAAAGTATAGGGGCGTTTAGAGCGAATGGACATAGCCTCCAAGACTGGCGATCCAGAGCAAGTTACCCTCAATATTCCGGTTCTCCAGCAATCTGAGCGAGGCGGATAGGTCCCATAGCATTTACTGAGAATGTATGATAGACGCCCGGTGAGGCGTTTGCCTCATCTTCAGCTAGAGGCGAGATGCCAGGCGCGTTCCAGAACGTGCTAGAGGGTGGCTCGTAGACGCCAGCACCGTTGACCACAATATCAACACGTCCAAACGTTTCGAGAGTCTTCTTCCACAGAGAGGCAATCTGTCCCCAGTCACTGATATCCGTTTTGTGAAAATCGACCGAAGGTGTGGTGGCGTCTTTGGAGGCGTACTTGGTTACAAGAGCCTCGGCTTCGGGCCGAAGCTTCACGTCGGCTATCATGACCGAGCAGCCTCCCTCAAGAAGCTGCACCGCAAAGGCCAGGCAGATGCCTATATCTCAGTCAGCTCTCACGAATTCACAACCGTTTATGCCCATTGTATGTGGGTATTGTGGGTATTGAGAATGAAGCTCTATCTAAAGGTAAAACCTACCGGATCCAGCACCAGTGATAATGGCATATTTGCCCTTGATATCGTAGGTGGACATGGCGTCAATGCAAGGTACGACTTTGAAGTAGTTGTCTATGTATGTGTGTGCCCGAACAGAGGCGAGGTTGAATGGCGGGTACCATGACTCTAATAAGTCTCTCAAACAGCGGCATAGCCCCGCAGACCTGGCTCTTACCTCTCGAGTGTATGCGTAAATTGACCATGCTTCGAAGCCACTGTTGAGGGTAGCATGGGTATTCTGCAAGGCACCTTTTTGGGGGAGATAATCAGCCAACGGCCTATTGGATGCCACTTACCCGAACGGAATGTTACTCAAATGCCGATCGCTGTTTCACCGCCCGAACCCCTTTTCATGCGAGTCGTACGAACATACTACGCAGTGTTCGTTGCAAGCGTATGTAGCGCTAAGGATTTGATCACGCGCGAAGTCGGACTTGTTCCCCGGTGTACTAGCAGGCCCCCCGCAAGTACTAGGCGCGGCACTAGGCAGGTAGTTGCCGGCTTACGAACCGCTACTTGTTGGTTGTGGTACTGAAATCTATGTCTCCATCGATTGGTTCATGTGCCTGCCAGGGGAATATTCAGACAGAACTGACAGGTCAAGGGATCATGACTCGAACATGGTAGGTTTCCTGACACCCTAGCAGCAACAAAGAAATCCCTTTTCTCTCACCAATTGACCTAGATTAGTTCCCATAGTAATTTTCACCCAGATGGGGAATGCACTAGAGAAAGTTGAGTTCCATCGTCTTGTATCATCCGTACATCTTCCCCTGGATGATTGAGCCAGCGAGCTCGTCAACAATACAAAACCCTCGCGGCTCACAGCTCCTTGCCGTCGTACCTGGTGTCTCCTGCAGTTTCCGATCCCGAATAAAGAAATCACCTTGGAAACAGTCTTCACGACCGAGGCTTTCTCGCCGTTCTTGATTTGCCAGCCCATCGTGGCGGATTCTACGGAATGGGAAGCTGTGAAGCCCGGAGGGCTTGCAGCAGCGATTCTCGGCGTAACGATTACTTTCTCCGTCCTATGTATTGTTGTTGTCGGCCTCCGCGTCAGCGCTAGGGTATCAATGGGAGTTTTCGGACTTGAGGACTGGCTCATGTGCGTTGGATTCGTGAGTGTTAGAGCGAACGACACCCTTATCTGAAGCAGACTGACAAGACCAGACCCTCAATATGGTCCATAATGGGATTGTTATTTGGGGAACTTTTACAGGTATCGGCACCTACGATTCAAAGCTGAATACCGCGGCGATGATAGAAGGGGCTAAGGTTTGTGTGTTTTGCAGTTTTGACGCTTACTTGTTTGGCTGATCCCCTCCCCTACTCTATTGTGTTCTGGCAAATATTCTACATCAGCGGATCCGTATTCATCAAGGCTAGCATCTGCGCGACATTGGCACGAATTGCTACGCAGCGCCGATACATCTACACTCTTTGGGGGCTTGTTGCTGTATCAGTCATAGCTACCCTGGTTGCCATTTCTGCAGTCTTGGTCCGGTGTAAGCCGGTAGCAGCGTCGTGGAATTCTGCTCTAGGAACGTGTATTGACGAATCCATCATTATTGCCTTGACATATGCTGTCTCGGTAATTAATATCGTGACGGACTGGGCTGTCGCAATTATCCCAGTATTCATCCTCTGGAATCTCCAGTTGCGGAAGACCCTCAAGAAGATGATTGCACTGGTCCTAGGCCTTGCTGTGCTGTAGGTCTCTTCTCCAAATATCCTATTGGTGTCCTCTCGTTAATCCAGCATCCCAGGGCTTCTATTGCGACCATCATTCGAATGCCATACTCCCCAGTCTATTCCCACACTACCAATCTACTACGTGCGTCAGCCCCTCCTCAAACTAGATCAAGTCGACTAATATTGTCACTTTTCTATCAGATGACATCGGAAACATCATCCTATGGACTGTAGTCGAATGCGATCTTGGTATTATCGCGGGCTCGCTGCCAATGCTCCGAACGTACATCCGGAAGTTCGCCAAGGACGAGAGCTCCCATCAAGGGGGTTCAGGAGACTTGAATCTGGTGACAATTGGGAGGGTCAAGGGGAAACACCACCCGATCCATGACGCTGAATTTATGGTCACCGCAGTTGGTGGTGATGATCGTGAGAACGCCAAGGATGATGAAAGTACGAAACAGATGATTAAGGTCACGAGGAGGATAGATCAGGTTTCAAGCAAAGGTTATGAGCAGGTTTAGTGCCAAGGCTTAATGCCATACTTGATAAACGAATGAGACGGACAAGCAAGTGAGATACCGAACTGCAATTGACTCATAGCTTAGCCTACATTTAGAGTTAGACTCTACACGAGGCACCGAGAATAATAGTATCCAGGATATAACATAGTTACTCCCCAAGATCGATATCTTTACATCCATAATCACCTCCAAGCTCAATACCTAAGCATTAGTTTGGCTCTTATAATAATAGTAGTGATAAGCCTTCTCGGTTAACATCCATAGCTTACGCCTGTTTTTGAGAGAGACATTTACAACTCGGCTGTCAGACTACGAGAAGACACCGACATCGATTCACCGTTCGAGCTCTCCTTCTATGCGGATCACACCGTCTTCCTTGACATCGCCAGCCCAAGAAGTCGTGGCCTTGGCCAAGGCAGAGAAGGAATTGAGACCGTACAGTATGTCATTGGACCAGTCGAAGATGCGGAGGAGGGCATTGCATTGAAAGCCGAAATATCTCCACTCCATTCGCGTTCCGGCTCAAGGGGTGGTAACATCATCATCCATACTGACACCACCATATGGTGAGATCTCCTCAGGGACATCCAAGTATCACTGGCACGCGCCCTTTGAAGCATTTCATGCACAAAAACACAAAAGCGACGCCGGGCTCCCGACCTGCTGGTGAAGAGGATGGTGGATCAGGGTCACGACCTGGGTCTTGTCCCATGAATGGGCCTTTGTACTGACTGGGCTAGATCTCCTTCACAACCCTCTCCATCGCCAACTTCAAATTCGCAATCTTCGCGCGCGTATTATCCCCAATCCAAAGAAAAGTCCCCAACACAATCCTTCTTAGAATACTCGTCCCCGCCCGGATCCGCATCTGCCCTTTCCCCACAATATACAGCACCTTCTGCGCATACGCGCGATTCAGCCTCGCCAGCTCCGCCGTGACACTCTCGTCCCTGAGCTCCGGCGGGCCCTCCGCATCCCCCGTGGACGCCGACGCCGCGGTGGTCTCCTGCTCGCTCGCGGCGCCAGACTTGGCAGCGGCCTGGCGCACAACGAACTTACGCACCTGATCGTAGATCAGCATGCCCAAATCCGGGCTGACGACCTCGTCCATGAAGCTATGGCGGACGACGAGGCGGTAGCAGCCGGAGATGCTAGCGAAGCGGGAGATGTGGTAGCGCTCTTCCTCGGGGACGGATGGGGACTCGACGGGGTGGAGGTGGAAGAAGACGGAGATATCGGGCAGAGCGCCAAGTTTGGAGGCGAAGTGGGTGAAGACGCTCGGAGTAAGAACGCCAGTCTTGTCGAAGAAGATGCCGAAGCCACTGACGGGAGAGAGCATGTCGCCGCCCCAACGAGGTGTCAGCGCCAACTTACCCTCCTTATTCTTCATAACGAGAGCGCTGGGCCGGAAGCGGACCTCTGCTTCAGCACGCCACTGGTTCTCCTTGCCAAACCTCCACAGTCGGAACATGCCCGCCATGAGCGCCGAAATGAGCAGCGTGAACCACACGCCGTCAGGCACCTTGTTGAGGGCCGACGAGAGATACAAGCCGTCGAAGGTAGCAAAGGCCAGGGCCGGCAAGAACACGAGCCATATCGGAAGGCGCCAGACGAGGATTGCAACCAGCGTGACCATAAGGGTGTCGAAAAAGGTGACGAAGATCACACATACGCCATAAGCATGGCCCAAGCTGGCAGTGTTGTTGTATACGGCGGTGACGAGGATGGTGCCGAGCATGAGCAGCCAGCTGAGGAAGGGGACTCCGGCTGACGATTACATCCCCCGCATCTACTGGTAAGCACCGGTGTTAAGTTACATTTCCGCGCCGCCAAGTGCATCGTTAAGGCTTGGCTTGCAGGCACTGAGCTGACACAAAGCGCATTGCGGCAGATGACTCGACGGGAGGAGCAGCAAATAAGGTGTATTGCCACTGGATTATTGAGGGAACCGTTCAGGGGGGGACCCAATAGAGCCACGGGTCCGTACACTCACGGGTCCTCTATTAGTCAGCATAACCCTAACCCTCTGCCTTGCTGCCTTTTCCGTCTCCCTTCTGCTTCACCGCCTGATACTTCATCATATCTATCCTTACTTACTACTATTAACAAAATGAACTCTCTTCCTCCTCAACAGTGGTATTCATCACAAGAAGATCTTATTCTAGATCTCAATATCTGGGCAGCAATCGGAGGCTATAAATTTATAACCAGAAGATCAACTACAGAAAGGTCTGGTCGACTTACGGTTACCTACGCATGCAATCGATTTCGCACTGGCTGCCAATTTTCAATAGTAGCCAAGGAAGAATGGAGTGGAAATTGGCTTCTTAAACATCGAACCGAAGCTCGATTTTGTCAACACAATCATGAGCCCCAAGGCAAACCACAAGACAAGCGACAAGACGAACCACAAGACGAACCACAAGACGAGCCTCAAGCCAGGCCGCAAAACAAGCGACAAGACAAGGGGCAAGATGAGCCACAAGATGAGCCGCAAGATAAGCCAGCAAAAAGACTACCTACATGTAGCAAATGTCATATAGTAGGCCATAGAAGAGGTGCAAAATCTTGCCCATTAAAATACAGAAGCAGCCCTTGATAGTTGTGATGGAGTGGTTATAGGCGGTCAGCGGTGAGGCGAGAATATTACAGTGGGTGTTGCTGACTAAGCGTAGGGACCCGTGGCTGTACGGACCCGTGGCTCTATTGGGTCCCGTTCAGGGGGCGGTGCTTTTTCACCAGTTCGATGTTCTGTTGAAGATCTAACAGCCTTTCACCAATCACGCGCAACCCTGCAATCTTACTGAAACGCGCTTTGCCCCCACTCGCTGTAAATTCGGCTAGCCAAGCGAACCAATCAACCTTTCGTTATTACAACCGCGTCCTAAAAGAGCTGACGAGGTTATCTGCCGTGACCGTGTTGTGTCTGTAATAGGCAGTGATGCGCTAAACCAGGCCATGGTCCCTTGTGAGTTGCATTGACCGACCCAATAGGTTGGCCTGGACCCCATTGATCGGCAAAGTGACACAGAACACGATCCAATGATCGGCTAGAACTACGAAACCCATGACTTTGCGTGGGGTAGTCAAAAGGTGGTGGCGCAGCTGCGGTACCCCTTTGTACCACCTCTTCTGGGTTAGTGGACATGTCATATCTCTTGTTGGGTCATGTCGATAAAGAGACATTCGGATACATCATCATGCGAATTGTCGTGTGAACATTTTTAACGCTATTATTTTCAGCGCGGCCCGAGTTGAGGGAGGTGTTCAGGGAGTTACAATACTACCACGGACTCAAGTGCCGCGGCGACCCCTTTCAACCTCAAGATATCTCCCGTCCCTTTCCCCAATGCCAACTGTCTTCGCGCCGCATCCGACCGTTCCTCGGGACCTCCCGAGCTGCAGAGGCCGTATAGACTGACGCCATTGTCCCTCTCCTCCAGCATGGTTATCAAGCCCGAGTGTCCTCCCGCACCGGCACGCAACTCGGGCCGTCACAAACCATCAGAAGCCCCGCCCAGGCGCCCAATCGAGAAGCGCCACGAGACGCAGTTGAATGATACACTTACTGAACTACAGGATAGTATCCCTTGTATGAGAGTTGTAATGGCAAAGGAAGGAGAGGAGAGTGCAACGAAGGATCCGCAGGAAGGAACGCCTACAACGATCGTGGATGAGGTTAGTTAGCATCCAACTTATGATATAATAATTCTTACCTAGAATATAGGAGGCCGTTATATGTATGGCGAGAGAGTACATTGCGCTCCTCGAGGAGAGAAACAGATCTCTTGTAGAAGAGCATACAGTACTGCAGTCGACAATCGCTGCGTTTGAGATGTTATTTCCACGTTACTGATCTTCTAACGCATGTTTTGCGCATCGACATGGTCGGTTTTCACATGGATCTCGCAGCGGGTGATGAGGGACCTCTAGGGCCACCAGGCTATTGGGGACAGCTGAGGCAAGAGGGAGGGGAGACTATTAATATGTAATGGATACTTAGCCCTGAAGCAACGGTCGCATCTTTTTCTGCTGTCTGATGGCATCATGGTACTGCTTTGCTGCTCCTTTGGCTGTATTCTCGAGCTCCTCGCATGTCTGTCCTGCTCGCCTCGATACTCTGGCGCGATTTCTCCAGTACGTGTATATGTGCCGGAGTTGCGTGAGGTCTACCGGTAAGGTCCACCAACGCTTTGCGTAGGGCGACGGCTTAGCTTTGGGTGTTAGGGCGCGAACCGCCTCTAGCACCACTGACATGAGCTTGTCTGTCTTCTGCTGTACGGTGCCATCTGTCGGGGTGGTCTCTAATGCAGTGGCGATTCGGACGTTAATTTCCTTCCATGGTGCTTCTTTGTGTAGGAGTCGTTCCTGGGCCTTCGGCATTGGAACTGAGATGTCGAACACCGTTTCAATGGCACGATGGTCGGATATATGCTCTGTATTGTGTATTGCACACTTGACAGTCGAGGTCGCTAGGTCCTCGGAAGCGAGGACCAGGTCGATCGTTGATTCGGGTTCTCCGCCTTGCCAAGTCTTCGTACCTCTCCGAAGCAGACTGCTGAGAGCAGACTCATTCATCAGATCGATGATTTGGTCTTCCTTACCCTGTCTCTCCAGCAACACATCCTCCCCTCCCCAGAGCTGATCGTGGCGGTTGAAGTCGCCCGCAATCACCACGTCCACAACTCTTCCTGCGTCTCGCCTTGTATCTACAATAACTTTGCGTAGGTTGTCGCACGCCTCCCTCAGCGCTTCAACTTCAATTCCTTGTACATAGACAGAGAACACCAGTACCAAGCGTTCCGGGAGCCGTATCAGTGCTGCTGTCATGTCTGGAGACTCAATCGGCACCAAAAGCCAAGCCGTCGCCGTACGCCAAACGATGGTGGACGACAGATCTGACGCGGTTTCGTGGAATATACACGTATTGGAGGAACCGTGCTCGGTCCGCGAGACGGGCAGGATGGGCCAGGATGGAACTGGAAGAGACAGCGAAAGGGGCCTCGAAGCAGTATCGTGACGCCATCAGGCAACAAAAGAAGAAGCATTAGAACGAGTTTCTAGCGGATAATGATAACATCTAAGAGGCAGCTAAGTACCTAAAGTCCGGTGATGACACGACATTCGACAAAGTCCCGCAGCTAATCAGGGCGGACGGAACAATCACAACCAACCACAGGGAACAAGCTGAAGAGTTGCTATCCAAGTTCTTCCCTCCCTCGCCGAATCACATCCAAGACGAAGGCCCTAGGCCTCAGAGAGCCCCTGTGACGATGCCCGACATCACGATGGAGGAGGTAGAACGATAGCTGTTCGCGGCAAAATCATGGAAGGCCCCTGGGGAGGATGGATTACCGGTGATTGTTTGGAAACAGTTGTGGCCTGTGGTCAAGCATCAGGTGATGGCCATCTTCCGGGTATCCTTAGATGAGGGAATATTACCCGACCAATGGAGGCATGCAAAGATTATACTGCTTAGAAAGCCTGGCGACCGATCTCCCTCCCGGCCACACTCGGCAAAGTATTGGAATCAGTGGTGGCGGAAAGGATCTCGCATGCTGTGGAAACGTACGGTTTGCTGCCGACGAACCACTTTGGAGCCCGCAAGCAACGATCAGCAGAGCAAGCGCTTCTACTCCTGCAGGAGCAAATCTATACTGCCTGGCGAGGTCGACGGATCGTAAGCCTGGTCAGTTTTGATGTTAAGGGAGCCTACAATGGAGTGTGTAAGAAGAGGCTGCTTCAGAGACTGAAAGCACGTGGCATCCCGGAGAAACTACTCCAGTGGGTTGAGGCGTTTTGCTCCAATCGCACGGCAACGATACAAATCAATGGAGAGTCATCAGAAACTCGAGACCTACCACAGGCAGGCCTACCCCAAGGCTCTCCGCTCTCTCCAATCTTGTTCCTTTTCTTCAATGCAGATTTGGTACAGCGTCGTACCGACAGCAACAGGGGGGCGATCGCATTCGTGGACGATTTCACAGCCTGGGTCACAGGGCCAACGGCACAAAGCAAGCGCAAGGGACTCGAGTCAATCATCGAAGACGCGTTGGACCGGGAGAGGAGAAGCCGTGCGACGTTTGAGGCGGACAAGACAGCTATCATACACTTCACCCGGCAGGACTACAAAACCGACTCGAAACCTTTCACGATTAAGGGACAGATGATCCAACCGAAAGACGATGTCAAGATCCTAGGAGTCGTCATGGACGCCGGGCTCAAATACAAGGAACATATTGCGAGGGCAGCCTATAGGTCTTTAAACCACTGGCTTGCCTCTGTTGCTTCTTGTAGCTTGACAGTCTGGGCCTCTTCGATCGCGATTTCCCAGAGAGCAAGCCACTCGCCAGTTGCCTTATATGTCGTTATGTGATGTTGGAGTGGTTTCGCTAGGAGTTCGCGGAGGGTTCGGCGAGCCCTCTGGACCCTTTCGTCGTAGGCGTACGCAAACTTGGTCTGTAGAGCCTGTACCCAGTCGGCTAGGGAGTCGTCGGCTCGGCAGTTCTGTTGATAGAGAGGAACTGAGATGCTCTCTTTGATCCAGTCTTGGATGACGTCTAGGCTCTTCTTCGTCTCCTTATACTGTCTCCTTCGGTATTCGTAGTTGGCCCACATCGCGTTGTAGGTTGAGAGTCCCTTCTCTGTAAGGTCCGTTACATCTGACGCCCGGAGGCTGAATCCTCGCCGATTGCTAGGCGAGGGTCCTCCGGATCGGTCTCTGTGCCGGCGGCCGCGATGATCGTGTCTGTGGACGTAGAGCTAGGGGTCGATGACTCCGTGGTCGCGCTCGTAGCGGCCCCTTTTCGCTTGCGAAAGTCTGTAATTACTGGAGGGGTTGGCGTTACTAGCTGTAGCTTGGGCTTGTTGGTCTTGGCTGGGTCGATATATTCCCAGAGGTCTTGATTTAGGGCTTTCGTCTTGAG